GACTTTGAAAACGTGAGTTGTGGGAAAAACGCTTTAAAGTTAACGATAGTGCGCTCGGGCCGGGCAGCTATAAAATTCCGACAACTCATAACGTCGTCAATTTTGTTCCGATCGACTTGAAATTTTGACACAATATTCTTGAGATATTATGCATTCAGTTAACAAAAAAAAAATGTTAATACCCTACCCCCCCCCCCCCTTAAACGACATTTGAGCATTTCCCAAATTCGCTCCCTTCGAGCATTTCATATTCCATTATTAGCTTCCTAGTCCCTTTAGTTGCGTAACTATTTGTGTAATACTCGTACATACTGTTAGGGTGTATCTTTTACAATCATTTTTCTATGCATATACAGGGTGATTCTTTTATCATGAGCCACTCAATATCTTATAGGTTTTAATAAGAAATTTAGTTTTTTTTCATGTTGTTTTTTATACAATGTGATCTCAATTTTTTACATTTTTTTTTTTTACCCCTCCCAACTCTTTTTGATAGAAACTTTTGAAACTTAAATAGTAACGCATATATTTCATTAACTTTTTTAATTGAGAATAATGTACTAAACATTATGACTAGATAGTTTTGGACAACTATTTTTAAAGTTATAATAGTTTAAAAATTAGGGTGGGAGGGAAAGTGCGGTTGGGAAATGCGCGCAGATAATAAATAAATAATACTACACTCCACCTTTCCTCTTGCCCTAAACATAAACTTCAATAACTTCAAAAATAGTTATCCGAAAATGGTTATCGACCAGTCAACATTTGTAGTACATTATTCTTAATTTATAAAGTTAATAAAATATATACGTTACCTTTCAAAATTCAAAAGTTGCTATAAAAAAAAACTAAGTCGTGAGGAAGGTAAAAACAAAAAAGTTGTGAAAAATTGAGATGACATTGTATAAAAACTATAAAAAAAAACATTTTAATTTCTTATTAAACTCTATAAGATATTGTGTGGCCCATGATAAAATAATCACCCAGTATATATTTATGTATTTTCTCATCTTAAATTCTTTCTTTTTTTTAATTATAATTCTATCCTCTTTTCTTGTACATTCTGGTTCTATAAAAAGTAAAAACAATCTTCTTTTCTTTATTAGGACTTGTCGCTCACAATAATAGACTATTATATATTATTAATAGTATGTTAAGACTGATCGACTTTATCGCTCAACTGAGCTGATAAAGTACAGTGCTATTAGTATACACTCATAAGTGTGTAAAATTTGTATTTATACTTTAAAAATTAAAAATAGTAATTAATGGAGAATTCTTGTTGTAGTATCGTTTCAACCAATCGCATTTGGCTTGAAATTCAAGAGAGCTAATTATTCAAAAATGGATAATTAAATGTTACAATTTCGTCACTTAATTAATTGTGTATTATTAAATACCTACTTATTTGCATTTGTGTATATTTATATTAAATTAAAACAAATCAAATTTGTAGGTTGGAAAAAATGTTATCATGAGCGCAGCAATGCTATTTTTCGTATCCTCACCAAGGGTAAATCAAAATATCGGTATTATATCACTGAACTCAATATATGGAACGCATATTGCCTATATATAGTCGGCTGCTTATGAAAATGTCCCCTGGTTCCCAGTCCCTGTCCTCAGGAGGCTGCCATTTTGTGTACAGTTATTGTTTTGCCCGTGATATTTATTGTTTTTTCTATGATTTATCGAATATATGACAGAGTTATCAACATGCTACCATCCTAACCTTGTCATCACCTAACCTAACATTTTAATATGTATTGTGGAAAAATGACGTATCATTTTTACTTTCTATGAAATTCCTAAACAAAATGGCTTCCTCCCATGTGGGGACATTTTTCAATCTGAATACCCGTTCCACATAGTTCAGTGTATTCTAATTTATATCCATTATATTTAGCAATTTCAGTTATTAAATTAAATTCTTTATCAAAATAATTAAAATAATAATATAGAGAGAGTTCTCTTAACGGACTACACAAAATAGTATTTAATATACCGACAGCCGATCCTTAAGTAATTTCGTATATTAGTTTTCTTTATAAACTAAGTGGATATATTGTATTCACTCTCTATTTATGTGCAATTTTTCCGCCGTTTTCTCTACCTAAAAACACACACACACACACACATACATACATACATATAGATTATGTATGCTATAGTCTATACATATATAATATCAACGAAATCATACGTAGGTGCACTTGTTAGTCACCCATCCTGAATTATTTAAAAGACCTCCAGTCCTACGTACTCATTGTGTTTCTCAACAGACAAAATGGTGCAACTATTCATCAACGATGAACGCATCGCAATAATAATAATACCTATAGGTACCTACATTCAATTGCATAACAGCTAAAGATAGACGGATGGCAATGGTTTGCGTACACACGACGGTAAATAACACACGGAATCGTCGAAAAAACGCGTTAAAGTATTGTTTTCCACCAAACGAATGTAAATAAGAAGCAAATACAACCGTGACGCGCCCGTTCTACTTTACTGTAATAATAATCAAATATAATCGTTCGTTGTCGTTATGATAATATTATGTCATTTACATCAGCTGTTAGAACTTCCTCGGTCTTTAGTACAAAACTTTTTTCTAATTTTTTTCCATTTTGTTTACTCCCTGCACAGAAAAAATAGGTATTATTGATTATTGTCTCTGACACTGTTACAAAACGTCATACCTGTTTTAAAAAAAATTCAGTGCTATACAAACAGAAATACTTAAAAAAAAAACATATCCGGATGATGATCGTCTGGTGATATGGTGTTGATTCGTGACACAAACTCGACCCAACCAAACAATTTTGCTAGGCGTTTTTAATTTCTAACTAAAATTTTTTAAAAAATTTACAATTTCGAATTGGACGTTTTAAAACTAACAGTAAATACATAACACTACTGCAATCGGGTCAAATATGTTATAAGTATTAAACTATAATTCTGTGTTTTACAGTATTTTATGCACTAAACTATTTTGTTTAAACCTTGGCGAAATAAAAACGGCGACAGCTATCGATTTAATTTCATGCTACAGACAACGGGCTTACAATATTAATACTTATCACAGCGTTTCGAATGAACTAGCTCTCGTAAATGCACATAGTTTAATTGGATATATAATTATTAATTAATAGGGACAATTTATTCATTATAAGTATACGTTACTTTAAAAATATAACGCATTACATAATACATTTGACAGTAGTATTTGTCTTTGTTATCACGTTTGTGATAAACGGGGACGTAAAAATATGTTGCAATTCGGTTTAAAAAGCAATGGCGTCATTTGAGAGTATGGACAGTTCATAGCCAAGATATAAGCTAGCATAGATGTGTTAAGTTTAATAAAAAAATCACTAAATGAGTACCAAAAATATTAACTAACACTAAGTAATTGAATTTTATCACTATCGAGGTATTATTGTTTACGCCCATCTACAAAATATGTATTTTACATCCAGATGACAGATAATACTATGAAGAACAATACTACAGTTATTAGTTAATTCTATAAAAATTACCTACAATGTGGATTATATATTTTTACTTCCAATATAGTTTTATTTATGGAAAATATGGCTTTCAAAATCTTATCACTCACTCATTCGTATCCCCACTAAGACCACGACTAATTTAATTGAATTGATTATTGAATTCTGTTTGCGGATAATTATTATAGTATGCACAATACTAGTATAAGTGAACAATTTATACATTTTAATTGATAACTAGTTTCCCCTAGAAGGCTCAATATAAAATCAAGGCAGCTAATAAGTACAGTTTTGTCCTATCACTGAAATGGCGCCATTGTACTATCTCGGATCACATTGTTTGTCGCTAGCGGTTTCAGCAGGCAACTTTGTCTTGGACACTAATTGCCTATTCAATTAAGACTTGGTAAGTCAAACGGATATTAGTGGCGTTAAAAAATCTAAAAAATATATAGTCGGCCAATTTCATAATTTTCCAGTAAACGTTATTTGAAAACATATAACAAAATAAAATATAAGTTAATACGTTATTAGTAAAAAAAAAAAATCACTATTCGGCGACATTGAATGCCGTTAGTATACCATTGAAGTAAATAATAGGTATGTATTGTCTAATCAGGAGGTAACGTAAAACTTCACTCGCCTTATTCCTCAAACTGCTATAGCTATATATACTCGATGCCGGTGCATTTCATTTTCTGTTTTAGCCACGGCATTAATGTTCACGTATAATTTATCACCACATATTTAAACTAAACGACGAACTCATGAAACCAAAAAGAAAATTCAAATAACACATACCAAACTGGTTGACGATTCTCGGTCTGGTTCTAAATTTTTTACTTGTTTTTCGCAATTCCAACAAACAGAACGACGGTCTACCTATCTTTAACTATTATAACTGCACATGGGCATAAAAAAAACCTTGTCTACCAGCGGACGAAATCGACTCGACGCATAATATATGTACAATAAGCAATAAAATGAATTATAATTATTATTATTTATTAGGGGTCCCGCCATCGCCTAAATCATAATCGATCTTGTTACATTTTATATCACCGCTAATAAACTCGAATGTTATAATGCACACTGACACAGACGACACTAAATCGAAACACGTCGGTAACACTATCTCTGATGTAGAAAATAAACTTAACCGGAGCCGATTTGAACACTCCGCGCCACAAGTACAAACTGATGCGTTGTAACAAAATTTAAACGACGTACAATTATGATTAGTGTATCGATGGCATAGTGCACAAATGTCGTTATACATTTTTTAAACGGTGTTTTATTTAATAGACATTTAAGTCCCCTTGCAGTAATACTATGAATATGAATCTCTTAGAGTCTTCCTGGATATTTGAACACAGTTTTATAACCCATACATAGCTTAATTTTACCAAAAAAAGCTGTGCGTTAAGCCATCAATTGTATGCACAAATTGAATTACAATACAATACGTAAATATAGGGTACTCACCGCCAGGCCGTTCAGACTTAGACCGTTTCGGACTTTCATGTATTTTTTGCGGAAAACTCGCCAAACGACATAAGCCATCGCGCCGACTGGAATCCATACGACGGGAGAGGCACTCGTTTATTACCAGAAAACCACACTATTGAAAATATATTTTCGCCGAAACAACACAGTATTATACTACACAACGGCAATCCGTTAAAATATTTAAAAAAATTATTGTTATTATAATATCATCTACACGGTCGAACGTTTCAGCAAATCTTTGTCTATTATACTAATATATATATTATTATTTATTAATATCATTTCGACGTCAAAAACGATTAGACAGAACGAGCGAAACGTTTGGAGTTGTTAAAAAAACTGGAACGTAAACGGACACCTGTGCACGACGACGAACGACAGCAGAAGTGTGCGAGAAGTATAAATACAAACAATAATTTGATGATAATAGCTACTTGTTGCCGGAGCGAGTCGTAGCGGATCACGTGCTCTCGAAAGGCGGTGGTAAGTGTTCGGAGCAACCGATTGTTTTTTTTTTTAGATGGCCCGTCTTAAGAAACCGCGATACCACTATAATATATTATATATATATTTTTTTTGTTGGGAGAAAAAAACGTGGTAACAGTATCACTTGAACCGAAATGTGTCTCGATGAATTACATCGCAAGTATCGCGTGTCTCTTATTGGCGAGATTTTCAAAAACACCGTAATATGCGCATAATAACTATTCTACAGACGCGAATATCATGTTAACACATAATGTAATACATGTAATCCATTCCGAAATCCCGAATCGAAGAGACCGTGAAGTAATAGATGGTGTTACCATATTTTACAAATATCCGCGTTTTTAATAAAAACAATAATAGTATAATAGCAATAATGTAATATTGTCGGCGAGGAGCGCTGTGTAAATTAAGAACTTGAAAGAGCAGAGCGATGGATTTTAAATCGTTCTGCCTTTAGTAAATCTTACTATAAGCCAGTAGCCACCCTATCGCGTCATAAAGGAATTTCAATATTTTTAGATTGCACAAAAAAATTTATCGCTTTATATATATAAATTCAGTGTTCTAAAGAGCCGCCAGATGTGTACGTAATATAACGTCATGGTTTAAAATATGTTCAGGAGAGGCATTTTAAGTTTAAAAAATCATATTTTTTTATCCACTACTTGATATTAGTTCATCATCCAAAATATACTTTACATAGTATGTATAAAGAAACATACTATGTAAAAGTGACATCATATTAGGATCTAATGACTTTATGAACCCAAATTTTTGTTTTAATCAAATAACAAAAAAAAATAGTGAATATTTTTGCTTTAATCTTGATGTACTAATTACGAGATATTCTTCAAAGTAAACGGTTCGATATAAACGTTTTCTCTATTTACTGTAAAAATTAAATGATTTTACAACAATTCCAAGACACTTAGATTTTGATTCGCGCAAAAATATTTCTATGAAAAAAATTGTAATTTTCTCCAGAAATTGCTGTGATAGATTGACAAAAAAAAAATAACAGCTATTAAAGAATCCTTATTACTGAATTAATAAGTATACGCTATATAATAAAATTAAAATTTTGTAAACAAAATTGCCTATACTTTACTCCTTAATATTCGGATCAAACATTATGTAATGAGAGGCGGTAAACTGCGTTAAAATTAATTTAAAAACAGTTATTTATGAAACCGTAAAATTTGTATAGATAGTCCATTTAATTATTTGTATCCGTGTTTTTATTAACTATTTTTTAACAGTGCTATCGTTTAATTCTTATACCTACTTAATACTGTGTACCTGTAAAGTAGAAATGGGTAATTGTGAATAGGGGTAAATACTAAATGAAAAAAACACAAGTTAAAATAGGAACACAAAAAATTAAAGGTAGGTATAGTTAGAATATCTGTTGTGATTTATGTCCCTACATTAACTATATATTTATGGTTGATCTAACTATATTATATAGTTTTACCGTGTAGAAATTGATAAACAAAATAATAAATAGCGCCACGAAATCTTTAAATTTATAAAATATATTGGTAGCTGCATTATGAAGAATATACGTAAGTGTATTGCGTTATCATTTCAAAAAATATGTATTGAAGACTTCAAAAATAAACCGCCCGACAACTTAAAAATAAATATGTAAATTGTAAGGCGTGGACCATGGAAAAACAAATTCACACTTAAGATCATAGTGCTAAACTTTATTTTAATATGTATAAACAAAAAACTATGAGTACAATTTCCAAAAAAACCTAGTGAAACCGTTTATTAATTTGTAGTCAACCTGAAGCTACTGGCTAATATAATATACTACCAGATTATGTAATAGGTGAAATGGTGCATGTAATTTGCTTTTAAAAATACCGGTTGCCTAAAGAAGTGTAAATTTTAGCGTAAAGTAAGTATAATTTACTATAATTTTACCAGGTAGGGTAATGATCATCTACTAAACTACTTTCCGGTAAAAAGTCGAATGCTGCCTAGCTTAATACTCTCCATTTTTATGCAATATTTAATAAAAGCCCCGTGCGCAAATTACTATTTAGGTACCTATAATTAATTCGTTAGTTTACAATCGCCCAGAAAACAATTATTACCCCGACAACATCTAATACTGCTCAGCACTTGCCTATATTTAATTTGCAGCAGATGCGTAATTTATTTGGCTGTAGAACCTATATGGATATATATATAGATATATATATATATATTTACAAAATACCTATGTGGGTCAAACGGAAATTCTATAGGTACCTAACTACGTTGATTTAAAAAAAAAATTAGTTAAAAAAAGTATACTGAACTCGTTTTCTATTGACTAAATTTAAGAACGCGTGTGCGTCGTTTTTACTCATATTGTGTTTTTATTTTTGTCAACAACATATAGTGTGTAAACGTATTCGATTAAACGTTTACAGTTTTCATTTGGCTTGTCTATGTATTTGCACTATATATTTACAAATAACTAATTAGTAATTGGTAGACGAATTGCGTAATAATTTGATCTAGTCCAGAACATAGACAAATATTTCCATGTAATTTTGTTTGCAATGCATATTTTACATGATTATGCAATTTTACTTTTTAACAAAAATTAATTATAGGTATTATTTAGCCATCGCGATTATCAAAATGCATTTAAAAAATGTGATAACCGAAATTAATTTACTATATTAATATTGATATAGTTTCACGATTTGTGTAAACTAGCATAACTATACAGCCCAATGCGTCTTCATTTCATTGTTGGTATTTTGTTTCATTGTTCGACTAATAATTTCGTTGTTAGAAATACACCTATTATATTATAATAAAAAATAAGCACATAATATAATTGAGTCTCCGCCATTTTTAAATTCTTTCTATTTACTATAGGTACGTACCTCTTTACTTAAATTCATTTTAACTTTTTACCTTGAAATATTGAATATATATATTGTCAGGAAGCTTATCAAGTTATAATATTGTTTCGAAGTTCCAAGGTTTTTAAAAATTATAAGGCATCGTACACTGTATTATTCCAACATGTGACGCAAAAAATTTTAATAACTAATAGTTAACACATTAAGGTGATAATGGCCCTTATTCATAGGCACAACTAAATCACTATTTCAGGGGGTCTAAACATCCTGGTTTGATCGTTTAGTGGAAGGAGGGGGCTACGCTATGAGAAATACTATATTTAAATGTTCTCCACAAAAACTATTCAAGCTATTTATTTCAAGTTTATAAAAAAAAAGTTTTGAGTATATCTTATGACTGATAATAAATATAACTGAAGAAAGACTTCTTTTAATAAACTAAAATATTTAACATTATGCCCCTATGAAAAAATTTATAATTAACAGCTTTGTTAAGGTTCAGGTATTGAATTGTACAGTTTTATGAAATAAAAATCAAAGAACATACTGGTTGGTTTTAATGAACAACTATTTTAAAGACACCATTTTAAACGTTATTAATTTTTAATGACTAATGACCCAGTGGGTAAAATGGGTTAGTGCTCACTGGCAATGGTTCGGACACTCAGTCAAAAAATGCCCATTAAAAGAAGCCGTCATCCCCTTCTACAACAACAGGTTGACAACCTTTCCCAAAAGCGGATTTATCAAGAAAACGCGGCATTGGGCCTTCAAGGCCAGTTAAGTTACATGATAATCATGATCATTTTCAGTACTTATACCAAGTTGTTAAGTTTTTAACATTTTTCGATTTTTGCGTTTTCGTCAATTCTACATTGCGTTGTTAATGTTATTTACAGAAATTACCTAATAAATATTTATTTATCAGGCATGAAATTTATTTATTGTTTATTTATTTTTATTCTATTTTATGAAACATTTTATATAATTGTTAACTTTTTAATACCAATAATGTACTACTATAAAATACTTTTATTTCTACCAATATCCTAGCAAACAAAATGTTTCTTACAGGTACACACGACAAATATTTGAGCGGCTACAATTGAGCTCATAAGAGTTAAGAAATTTTATTATAATGATGATTGTTTTAAATGTCTAATGTCTTTGACTGATTCTTTAATCGATAAATATCATGACATTATAACTTTTATTACCTGTAGTTATGGAATCTAAAGTTATGGTAGCTACATGAACATTGAAATTATTATTTTTATTATTTAAGAGGACACCACAGCTATTAATAAATATGATTTATTTAAGGTTTTGGTATAGACACAATTCATATTATAGACCCCTTAATTACCTATTCACAATTTTAAGAAATAAAAACAAATATACATTTGGGTTTTCCAGATTTTTATTGTAATTAATAATAGTCAAAAATATTACATTTAAATCTAGAATTTTTTAAAACCTTTCTTAGCGCCTGCACCCTTGGACACTTTCAATACATTAAATCTTACTGTCTTGCTAAGTGGTCGGCATTCACCAATTGTGACAATATCTCCAATTTCCACATCACTATTATATATATATATATGTAAAAAAAAAAGTTATTAATATTAAAGTAATAGTCTAAACCAATTACTCAATTTAATCTTTAATTACCGGAAACATGGAGACAAGTGAACAGACATGTTCTTGTGGCGTTTCTCAAAACGATTGTATTTACTGATGTAGTGCAAATAATCCCTTCTGATGACAATGGTCCTTTGCATCTTCATTTTACGTACCATTCCTGTTAAAATACGTCCTCTGATAGAAACATTACCAGTGAAAGGACACTTCTTGTCTATGTAAGTTCCATCAATGGCCTAAAATAAATTTAACACAATATATTACTAATAATATCTCTGAAGATTCACAAATTTGTGTTGTGGAATATATATATACAGGGTGATTATTTTATCATGGGCCACACAATATCTTATAGGGTTTAATAAGAAATTAAAATGTTTTTTTTTTATAGTTTTAATACAATGTGATCTCAATTTTTCACAACTTTTTTGTTTTTACCTTCCTCCCGACTTAAGTTTTTTTTTATAGCAACTTTTGAATTTTTAAAGGTAACATACCTTACATTGATAAATCATATAGTATTTTATATTTTAATTACACAATTTTAAAACATTGTCTATGAATTCATAAGACCGTTGCGCTATTCTCATAATTGTAAATATTAAATATTTACCATAGAAATATTAATTTTTAAATATTTTCTTAAATTGAATGAGAACATAATTATACCTAATACATATTTTATTAAGAATTAATTTATATTATATTAAAATCAGTAACACAATTGAAATCATTGTCTTAATGGTCATAAGACCGTCGTGTTATTATCATCATTTTAAACAGACTCATATATTTTTTTTGTTTTAACATAATAGACTATAGAGGGTTAAGCATAAAAACTTAATTTAAAACTAAATTCAGTAAAATGTCATTCATTTTTAAAAATTGATGTTTTATAAATTTAAAAAAAATCAGTAACACAATTGAAATCATTGTCTTAATGGTCATAAGACCGTCGTGTTATTATCATCATTTTAAACAGACTCATATATATTTTTTGTTTTAACATAATAGATTATAGACTATAGAGGCTTAAACATAAAAACTTAATTTAAAATTAAATTCAGTAAAATATCATTCATTTTATAAATTTAAAAAAAATCAGTAACACAATTTAAAATCATTGTGAAATGTTCATAAGACCGTCGTGTTAGTATCATCATTTTAATTAGTTGCGAATTATTTTGTTTTAACTAACAGTTTTAGATGAGTCATTGCACAATTGAATTCACTGTAATAGAAATTTTCCAAAGGGGTTTTGTGATAACGGAGAAGTGCCCAATATTGTACTCTAACTATTAAAAAATCAGTAACACAATTTAAAATCATTGATTATTAATCATAAGACCGTCGTGTTAGTATCATCATCTTAAGCCGTTTTGGATTATTTTATTTAAACACGCTCACTTTTACTGCCGATCACGGATCAGCAGCAGTTGTTAAAGGCCACCTACCAATCCATGATCATTAGTAGGTATTTACATTATAAACGTTCATAAATTATTCAGCCATTGAGAATGCCTATTTTTTAACAACAGTCACTGACAATACCGTACTCCATGAGTTTGGTTTAAATTTTTTATCACGAGATCGCAGACCGTTGCAAATCAAATATGAAATTTTATCGGATATCACTCAGCGTATGGTGCTCATCCAGAGAATTAAACCGGACGTGAATGTATTAACTTTACATTCAATGCAATATATAAAGTTTCAAATGGATTGTTGTGCTGATAGAGAAAACTTCAATGTTATACTTAAACTATTTAAAAATCAGTAACACAATTTAAAATCAGTGTTTATTAGTCATAAGACCGTCGTGTTAGTATCATCACATTGAAAATAACAGTGAATTAATTCACTTTAAAATTAACCAACAAACATCATAATTATTTTTATAATAAACACCTTTTTCTACTTTAAAATACAATAAAGGTTTTAAATAAAAGTTCAGGTCAAATAAAACAAATCTTATAATATAAGATTATATCTTATGATCTTAAATTGGTCAATACGACCTATTCTCAGCACTAAATTGAAGTTAAAATATGTTCACTTCAATGAACATCACACGTGTGGAGTACATAGAGAATTGTAAAAAAGAAGATATGGCTGACCGACACCATTTCTAAATGGAATTAAGATAAGGCTAGAAGACAAAAAAAAGGCAGATTTAATACTGTATAGTGATGGGAATCCGAAAATCAAGATTTTCACAAAAAAACGCTTATCAATTCACTTAAAAATTGTATAAGTATTAAATATTTCTACAGTATAGCCATGTACCTGAGTAAAATATTTTTGATGAAAACGTAAAAACAAAACAAAGCACCAAAAAGATACAACTCCTTTTGGATATAGGATTTGTTGAAATCTGAGAACAATTTAAAGTTTTTTATTTTAATTTTTACCAAAACATTTTACTTAGGTACATAGATTTTTATGGTAACATAATACTTATACGATTTTTAAGTGACTTAAAAAGTTTTTTTTTAAATTCGGATTTTTGCATTCCCTTCACTACTGTATTGTTGTTCAATAAAAATATAGAATCTGAAATTAATTTCTCCTTACAAATTAAAATATTAGATCCTACAAAATATGTATTTATTTACTACATTCCTATTATATATTTATTTACTGACATTCTCATTCTAGATTTGAATTCAATTTACAAATTATATCAACTTCACAAATTAAAATTGTTGACTATTTATTGTTACACTAATATTTATAATAACAATTCGATTTTAATTTTCAATACTTTAAGTTAAAAATATAATAAGTTCTTTAATGAAAATACTGAATATTAAAAAAACATTTTACATAACTTAATAGACAACTAAAATGTATTGTTCTTAAATAATATTAAATTTTTATTATTTTAATTAAAAACTTAGAAATACAACTTACCTCTCTTGGAGTTTTGAAACCAAGACCGATGTTACGATAATGACGCAAGGGCTTCTTCTTCTTGGATTCCTTACGGTTCAAGAAAACAGTGGGTTGCTTTTGAAAAGCTTTTTCAGTCTATATAAAATGAAATAATTTTGTTATTTGATGAATGCGTTAAACATAAAAATTGATATAATTAACAAGAGGTGTATTTTCCATGTGGTCTAACGCAAATCCATGATAAAAAGAAACATATAAATTCCAGTTGAATTAAGCTGAGATTTTAACAAGCATATTTCGTTGAATAATAATATTGTATTACCTGATCAGCCATTATAAGTCGTAAAAATTATAATTTCAAAATCTATTAGAAAATTACACACTAAATCACGAAACACGATTCATCGAAAGCCGAGAAAACAGAGAAAAACCATTCGTTGATGATTTGACGACACATAACCTCAAACATACACACACATATCTCTTAGTTTATCCATGGAAGAAAATAATCAAACATGTATGGTACCTGTGGCGCTCTCTAGTATTGTAATTCTGCAGCTACCAAATCATTTAAACATATTAGCGCGCGAGTTTCAAATATTGATAATGTAATAATATTACAAAATGCATATTTATTTTAAAATTATATTCTGACATTATATTAATATATTATATTATATTAATTATCGATTTGTTATATTTTGATATTATATATTATATTAATTATTGATTGTTATATTTGTGTATTAACCTTAATAATATTATATATTATATAAAGTATTATAATTTATATGTATATTATTGAATATTCATTAATAAAGTGAGAAAATGCCACTTTTTTCGTTTGTTCTTTATTTTGATAAGAAAGTTTACTTCCTTCAATCCCGATTTTTTTAAGTCTTATTAACAAATATAATTGTTTTACATTTTGAAAAGAATGTGCTATTGATGTAAATTTTTATTTTTTTATAAACATTTAATACGATTTGTTGCGTTCGTCTTCCACATAGTGTAGCAAACACAATTTATGGAGTCCCTAAAGAGGAGACAGAAAAACAAAAATGGGAAAAAGCTTTGGATATGACCCTAATTGAAACACATCAGAATCCACAGTGTTTGAATATGTAATATAATTTTTGACAGGGTAATTATTTAAAAAATATTACTTAATTTTCAAACATATTACATGACTAAAAATTACTTTTTAACAGGTATATAAAGGATAAAAAAAATATTAAATGTAGAGACTGCTTAAATGATTTAAATACACAAGTTGGAGAGGTATCATAACCGGCAGCAGAATTAGTAAATTTAAAAACTAGAGGATACTTGACTCACCCAAATCATAACCTTTATGTTATTATACATTTTTTTGAGTTAAGCTTTGAAAAACATGCTGATTTGCTGAATGTATTTGATGATACATTTGATGGATTAGTAGCTAAAATTATATTTTTATAAATTTCATTAAATTTGTATGCCGACTTAAAGTCTAATTAAAATAACAAAATTTGTTTAATTCTGACACACTAAAAAATTAATTTTTGTTTAATTCTGACACACCTGTAATCACACTTTTTATTCATATATATATTTATTTTTTATTTTTAAGTAACTTCAATGTTTGGTATTTTACTAAAAAGTGTAATATTTAAGAGCCTATACATTTTTAGGGCTTGAACAAAATATTCTGAAATTTGTACAACACTTACTTCTATGTATACAGAACATCTGGTAAACGTTTTAAAACAGAAAATTATTTTTGCTTAAAGTTGTAAGAACTTGAATAAAAAGATGTTATACGTAGTTGCTAGTTTTAAAAAACGGAATTTGAAAAAAATGTTACTTACAACTTCTAGTATAAATAAGTCTTCATTGCCAAACTTTTACCAGATGTTTTATATACATATAAGTAAGTGCTATATTGCTAAACAAATTTTAAAATGTTTAGTTTAAATCTTAGGGCTTAAGTAATGGGCTCTTGAATATAGCCTTTTTTAGTAATATTTAGCAAAACTTTGAAGTTACTTTACATCATTAAAAAAAAAGGTTTAAATAGTTTAAAAAGTTTATAAACCAAAAGAGTAGGTAGTTTGATGTGTAAGAATAAAAAAAAACATTTTGAAACATTGAGTTAGTTTACAAATAAAATTAAATTTATAAAATTTTGAATTTGTTTTATAAATTATTACAATTATTGATATATTATAAAATAAAAATACTTAATAAATACCTAAATCGAAGCACAAGGTGGAGCTAATAATTAATATGTAATTATAATATTTTATTCAATATTTAAAAAAAAACTGTTTCTTAAACTGATAATCGTGATAAATTTTGGTTTTATTGGGTTCCCAGTTTGATGATTTCTATAATATATTTTTTTAGCGATGTATTAGTAAAAAATGGATGATCGTATGAAATGTTTTCTTATAACCTATTTTGTAGGCAATTTAATTTTATAAAATTAAAAATTAAATAATTAATTAAAAAGTTTTATACTTAATATATTTAATAGACACGCATTAGGGAAAGAGTGGGCTGGTCTCAGCCGGCCATCAACAACGTACCAGGGACGTGAGATTTATTGGCCATTATTTGTCAATATAGGTTTCAATAGTAAGTAGGTATTATTGTTATAATAATATACTATATGTTATTCTAAGTTTTTTGTCTTCCGAGTTTTATTTCCCAAAAACAGGCAGACAAGCACTTGTATAATAAGGTCACAGGACTCAAAACGTGAAGGTATGTCGTACCAATTATTATAGTCTTGCTTTGATAATGGTATTAGTTGATACACGCTTTATTATTTCAGGAAAAACGGCAGATAGCAATTGTATATTGTACACAGATTGAATACCTACAGACAACAGAAACGTGTAAGTCGTACCATTGTATTATTCCATTGCACAGACCGAACCAGTGATCCAATAAGGAATCTAAAAACAGATTTGAATTCACCATTTGAGTTTACTTATGATCGGTCAGGTCACTTTTTTAATTTTTTACTTTAACCCTTTCCGAATTTGATTTTAAGGTTGAAATTTTACATAATATTCAAACGCGTTTAAATACATAGTAGGAATAATATATCAAAAAAGTACCCTGACCGATAATAAGTAAACTTCATGACGAATTCAAATCTGTTTTCAGATTACTTATCGGATCACTGGTTCAGCCTGTGCGATGCAACAAAAAATGTATGTTATGCCGGGTCCACACAGAGCGAAAAATATTAAAACAAAACAAAAACTCGATGTTTTTTGACAATTTCCAAACAATTTTGTTTTTTTTCAACAAAATGGTCTGTTTTTAAGAACAAAACCGTGTCCCGTTCGTGTTGGGAAATTTTAATAGATGTTTTTGTTTTCATGAACACTTTAGCTCGGTGTGGACATAATTATCTTTAGGCAAGTTAACTAAAGACCAAGTTTCATTTTGCTTAAGAGACTCCATTTCGTTGTCCATGGCCTCAATCCTTTTTTCTGCATTTTGCGACTTTACAGCTTCATTGAAACTTGTCGGATCGGATTCTGCTGCGAAAAATGCTGAGTTATCATAACGTAATGGCTTATTAATATTACTCCTGTCTCGTAGATTGTAAATGTTGACGTTTGTTCCATTGCCTTGTTCTTGATTGTCACTTATTTCGTTACTGTTTGGTTCAAGTTGATTTTCGGGTGCTCCCAGTGCCGCAACTACCGGGGGGGGGGGGCAGACAGGGCGACGCCCTGCTAAAAGGGCACTATAAGATGAATTTTGGGACACAATTTCTAACTTAGATACCCTTAGTCTAGGTCCTGATTTAAGAACAAAAGCAGTTATAAAAATAAAAAATTTAAAAGATTTATCTATTTGTCAAACAGTTCTTATCGATTTTATAAAAGTAGATACTATTATAGTAGTTCTCTGAAAATCGATAACACCAATAACACTGCAGCCAATAACACTGATATTAGTGATTAGAATACTGATAGGAAAGGAGGAGGTATATAGACCAACGATTGGCCGAGATAGTCTCCATGACACAAGCTACGACAATGGTGCCCGTCTAATTAATTTCTGTATAACTAATGGAATGGTCTTAAGTAGTACATATTTCCCTAGAAATGATATCCATAAACAAACATGGATAGCCCCAAACCAAGTGGTAAAAAATCAAATAGATCATATTTTTTTTTTCTTCAGCTCCAGAGACCGTTCAGGCCCATTGCTGCAACACACACTTCTTTCCATTTCTCTCTATCCATTGCTACCTCCCCGTAGTTTTCAACTCCTAGCGTTGTTAGATCCTTTGAGACTTTATCAAACCATCGTTGTTTAGGTCTGCCTAAGGGCCTCTTTCCTCGTGGCCTCCAACTTTGGACCTCCTTTGCAATCATGTTAGACCTTAGTATGTGACCTAGCCAGCTTAGTCTTTTGGCTCTAATTACTCCAATTATATTTGGTTCTCCAAAGGCATTGTACACTTCTTCGTTTGACCTTATTTCATACCTTTGTGTTACATTATTTATTTTAGGTCCACATATCTTCCTTAGAAACTTTCTTTCTACTATAGCCAACTTTCTCACATCCTCTAACGTTGTTGGCCATGTCTTACACGCATACGTTATGATAGGTCTTGCTATTACTTTGTATAGTCTCATTTTCGATTTTTTTGATAGTAGCTTTGAGCGCAGGCACTTAGATAGTGTATGAAGACATCCGTTACCTGCTAGAACACGTTTCTTAATCACTTCGTGATTGTTGTTTTGGCTGTTTAGTTCTGAACCAAGAAACTATGTACTTTTTCAAATGTGTACTCTCCGATCTGTATATTCCTTTTCTGATGTATTTGTGGTTGTTCTCTTGTTATACACATATACTTGGTTTTGTTTTCATTTATTTCAAATCCTATTGTGTTGGCACTTCGTATTAATTCCTCTGTTGCTATTTTTATATCGTCTTCAGTTTCTCCAAGTACTACGATATCATCAGCATACGCTAAGATTGATACAGATTTTCCGACATCAATTTCTTTAGGTATATTTATCATGTATGAAATAATAATAAAAACCCTTAACCATAAAAATTATATACTCCCCGCGAATACGTCGTATTTCGGCAACAATGTTGTCATCTTCAGCGCTCACGACTGACTGAGACCGATTACGGGCGAACATCTTCCTCTATACCTATACAGCGCCGTTATACCGGAAATGATGACTCATCGTCAACACGTTTTAAAAATTTAAATAAAATGTTGCAATACATTTTATTAAAATTAATTTAGCCCTACAGGAAGATTTTGCTAAAAAAATTAGGCAAAAAGTTTTCCCTACACGTTGGGAAGCAAGATACGAATCGGTATCACCATTGAAAGTAAGATATATTGATGTTCTTAAATCATTAAATGGTGTTATTTTAACAAGTGACAAGCTAGGTTAAAGAAATATGGCCAATCCATAAAATCATAGCTTAAAAGACATAGGAATGATATTTATTTATTGCTAATTATAATTATTATTTTCCATTTGGAATGGATTCAATTTTAACGGATTAATACTTTTTTTTTAAATTTTTATGGAGACCTGTTGGTAACATATGGCTTGCCTTTTGATGTATATGTGTTTCTCAGCTGAGCGTCGATTTATTAAATCTATACACTGGCTCTATAGTATAGAGCCAGTGTCTATACTATTCTACAAACCACTTTGGTCGCTAGTCAACGCTGGACAACAGTTATTGTTACTTGTTATAACAATTATTGTTAATTATTGTTACAGAATGTTTAACCCATTATGGATTGCTGCCCCTCTGGGCTTAGTTGTACTAGCGTACTACTCGTACATGTGTTATGCAAAAGGAGACGAGGAGGAAGAGCGGCAGGAAGTGGAGCAGCAAGAAGAGGAGCGACAGGAGGAGGTGCGGCAGGAAGAGGAGCGGCAGGAGGAGAAGCGACAGAAGGAACAGGTGTGGAAAGAAATGACCAAGACGGAAATGTTGAACCAACAAAGGGATATGTTCGGGACCTGCCTGGTACTAGCCCAGCAGGTCCGCGAACCTGGTCAACACTCCAAGTTTATCGACCTAGTGTCTGCGATATTGGCATTCCCGGAAAACGAGATAACACATGCGGCGAGGAAAATGTTTAAGCCTATTCTTCGCCGCATGGGACCGGACGAACTGCGGGAGTTCGACAAAATGGTGGACAAAAAGAAAACAACTTTAAAACAAATTCCGACGCCGTTCGGCGGCAACGTGTACAACGATGTACTCGAAGGTGCCAGGTAACTTTTGGTACGCCGTCGGACTATTGGTATGTAACTCATTACAGAAAATAGGTTAACAGAAAATCTTCTGTTAACCTACCTTCTCTTCCTGTGAACTCGGGTACGTTAGGTACACCTCACCTCTCAGACAACACAGGTGGGCCGATTCTCGAATATTTATCGAATTCGACAACATTTTCTCACCATTGGTTTAAAATGGCGACCAAATTTTGTCGAAATCGACAAACATTCTACAATCGGCTTCCTGGTCTTCAAGAGCTGTCCAACCTCCGCTGAACACCCTCACTCCCTAGCGCCTTCATTTTCTCACGCCCTCATTTTATCCCTGTGGACAGGGGAGAAAGAATACTTCCAAGGTTCTCGCGCCTGTCGTAAAAGGCGACTAAAGCGACGTCGAGCCCAACGTAAAGTGGCCTTCTGACAGGTCACTTCTTCTTGAGACACACCTTCTGCGGCCCGCAATTAGTACCTAGGGCGCCGATTCTCGAATGTATATCGAATTCGACAAGATTTTGTCGCCATTGGTTTAATATGGCGACAAAATCTTCGTCGAAAGCGACAACATTCGAGAATCTGCCCCCCAGTGCTACTAGGCGGGCCGCAGTCGTAGGGGATCCCTTCGGGGTGAACCACTGAAGCCAAGGAACACCTGTCCCATGCACTTAGTGCATGGCATTCGCTATGACGTTTACCAATTGTGTTTAATCATCTATTGCGGAGTTTTTTTAGCTTTTACAGCGGTACCGTTTGGCGTCAGACAGCTTCAGGCTCGAGATGAAGGCAAGCATCGTCGATGGATCTGCTCCTGCTGGCCCTCTGGAATTGCCTACGAGCCGAGAGAGAAGACTTCCTCGGTCGCAACTGACGCAAGCTTCTGACAGGTCACTTCTTCTTGAGACCGCTAAAGGCCAAGGAACACCTGTCCGTGCACTTTGTGCATGCCACTTGCTAAGACGTTGACGCGGTCGCATCGCGACCCGGTGGTGGCCGAGTACTTATCACACCCGAGCCCGCTTTCCCTTCTACTCGTCCGACAGGCCGCGCTCGCCACCCCACCGGACACTTCCATTGTAGATGGATACACGGACATTTTTATGGATATACCTTGTTTTTAACCTTTTGTGTAAATAATAAAGAGCAACCGTGATACTTAAAGCCGGCGTATATTTTATTTTCACAACAATTACCCTTTTTATCTATCACGATTTCAACATTTGGGGCAGTCGATATTTTCAGGACCTAAGGAAATTTAAATAATATATTATTTATTCTTTTATTTTCTGCACCCCCTTAATTCTAACGAAGTTAGCTTAGCTGAACCTTGAGGTTAGTCTAGGCTTCCACCGTAAGAGAGTTTTTTCTCAAAAAAATTACAAATTTGGGGTATTTTAACGCTTAAAAGCGAAAAAATTAATAGGGTTTCTGTATAGAGTTGTACCTGAGTGTGCTGCGGATTTGTGGTCCAATGAGGAAGATCCCGCTGCCTAAAGTCTTAATCAATGTTGCAAGTCTGACCAAGACACACGGTCTGCTGTATTGATTATGAAGGCCCCAATGGACGGGTGAAGTTTCCGCAAAACGGAGTAAACGGTCGTAATGGACCGAAGTAACCCGGAAAAGATATTCTGTTCCATTTTAACCAATTTTTATTTGTGTGTTTACAAGACACGACGTGTAGTTTTGTGTATTTTGACTATTGCGATTGTTCGCATTTTGGAAACCAATTAATTATACATTTTTGGTAGCATTATAGGAGTTGGGGGTAGTTCTTCCAAAAAATGATAACGCTTGATAAGAAATAAATGTTACATAACCCATAAAATCTGTAATACCACAGATAGTACCAACATCGATTTTACCAAAAACCCGCTAAGAGAAATTTCGTATTTTAATATCAAAAACATTGCCTTTAGTTAGGTTCTTATTTTTATTGCAAATTGTAGTTAGATCTTTACTATTATCTAATTTAAATCATATACACTATACATAATACACGCAAAATTATATAATGTAAAATTCATAATAAATTACATTATATTATAGTATACCTATCTTATATACAAATCTTATAAGTTATATTATAACTTAATATTATTTGGTATAAAATAATAATAATTTTATTAAAATTTCCCACAAATGTTTTATATTACTATTTAAATAAAAAAATTTTACTTTTTACCTTAACTCATTGACGATTGCAAAATTTGGCTGTCAAGTATAAATTAGTTTTACCACATCTTACATCTGTATTCTGTAGTTAATGAATACAAGTAGGATTTTATGAGCTTTGTCTTTTAGAAGATATATTATTAACAAAATTTAGTACCTAAAGGATATAATAGAGCAAGGAAAACGGAACATATGACACTATTGTAGTTATAATACCTAACATAAATAACTAGAATAAAACATATATTTAATTTTCAAGTTTCCACACAAATCAATATATACATTATAAGTAGATAGTCCAAAGTGAACCTATTGCCGGATAAAGACTTGTGAAGAGAAAAAAAATTGTTGCATGGGATAATAAGAATATGGCATACTATAAAATTACTGTAAACTAGATTAAACAATTCTGTTATATTAATAAATATGATCAAACTAGGGTCGTAATTGTATAAACGTCATACTTAATAAATATATACTTAATGTAATTTAATGCAAACTTGCTCATATGTTGGTGAGATTATCAAATCAGTCTGATTGTCTTACTGAATTTAAAAAAAAAAGGAAAACTATAACTAAATATTATCCCGTGCCATACAAAATGTTTATATATAATAATTAAATAATTAATAACGAATTATCAAAAATAGTATTCAATACCAAATAATGTATTTAACTGACGGTATTAAAATACCTTGTAAGACTGAATGTTATTTATAATCTATTAGTAGGTTTTTTAAATAATTATTATTCACTTAATACTTTACAGAAATTAGTTTATATTAAGCTACTCTGGATATATATATTTTTAAATAAACCAAACTAAACAATATGAATTTGTTCAGTAATAGTTATTCAAATGATTAAAAAATATGATTAAATTTTTGGTCAATATAAGTAGTATACCTAACTGAAAACGAAACTCTTGGCGGTCAAAGCGGTTACGATAAGTTTTAAGGAGAGAAAATTCTTACACATAGGATGCGCGTGGACGGAGACGGGTTATGCTCCGGCAGCGATGGTTGTGTGTTCCAACGGATTTATGAACTTGAGATTAAATCAAATCGTCGGACTGGTAACAGGAATTAATGATCTCACGCGGTTCGTGGGCAGCAATCAACGCGCAGCGTTCCACGGACAACCACCGGACGGCATTATCATTAAAAAAACCAGATGTTTTTCAAAATCAGTCTATGGATCAGTGTCCATGGAGAAATATAAAAATAACATGTCAATTTAATGTTCCTCGGGTCACATTCCAGCTGAAAAAAAAAATAATGGATAAATAATAGTAATAATAATTATAATATAAAAGCAATTTTAAATGGTTTACTAATGTTATCGTTTGTTAATTGTGAAGTTAAAATTAAATGTAATGAAAATTTATAATGACATTTTTTATACCATTTAACTTCCAACTTTTTATACTATTCAACTTAAATTATCTATCAATAACACTAAGAAGAGTGATTTCATGAATAGACTATATTTGTGACCAGTATATATCAAGTGGACCTAGTTTGTTATCTCATACCAATGAAGCGTAAGATCTACAAGAAAATGCAATTTTTCTTGTACAAAAAACTAACAATGTTAGTAAATAGTAAATTAAATTATTAAAAAAAAATATATAATTTACATTTGATTTATTTTTTTTTAAATACTCTATATTAGGGTTTTTAGATTGATATTAAATTACTATTGTAACAATAATTGTATTAATACTACAAATCTAAAGTATTTTCCTTACCTCTATAGACAAATGATAAAACAATTATTTCTTAGCATACCGATAAGCTTTTTATGACTTCAGACGACCTACCATCATACTGTGAAACATAATTTACTTGTACATAGTTTTATTCAAATAGGATGTAATAATATTGCCACACAAATTAGTACCACATAGTGTATGTATGAACTTTGTCGCTACAATAATTGATAAATATATTATGTTATTCATATTAAATACTGCAAGTTTATATCATGTGAAAATAAGAGTTTTGAATAATGAATTAAAAAAGAATTCTAATATAAATATTCATTTAATATTAATAAGAAACGAAAGTAAATTTTATTTACCAATAATTATCGTAGTCGTCATATGAACTAGTTGTTTTTTTGTCATTATAAATGCATCGTAAAAATTTGTACTATTTAAGAAAATATAATATATTTTAACACGGTTGATTTTTTTATCATTTGAATTATTGCTGTTCGGTTCTAGAGATAACAGTTAACTCTGATAAACGTTAGTAATATTTTAGTTAATTTTTTTCTGATAGAATTGGCAGACTGATAGAATTTGAATTTATATTTTGGTGTTTCTGGTATGGTCACGTTGATAAAATAAAAATTGTGTTATCTTTTGGAAGAACTCTAATCTCTTATCATTTTTTGGAAGAACTGCCCCAAACACATTAATTAACATCCATGAAAATTAAAGATAAGGATCTATCCATCATCCATGGCTTAAATATACCATGTAAATTATTATAATGCAGCTACTTTCACGATATTATAACATAACATATAGCTGATGTAATATCTTATAGGATCGCGGCTAATCCTTCTCCTGCTCTCCATTGTAATTGATAATATAATGAAGTTGTGATATTATGCAATAACGGATAACCAGCTGGTGTGTCATTTAAGCTATGGGCCTTTAATACATTAACATTTTAAAGTAATGATGGGAATAATCGAATGATTTTTAAATTATGTATATTGCCTGTTGTCAAATGTCATTATTTATATGTATTTAGTTTGAAGGGTATAGAGTATAGAGTAATATTATTTGGTACCTAATTAGTGTTAGATTTTAATAATTCACAATATTACTAGTTTTATTATGTATTATATATGTTTGATATTAGTTGATTATTATTAGTTATACAAACCTTTAGAAAACAGAATCACCTTAAAAATGAACAAATGACGAATAAATTATTTAAAAGTAGTAGTTGTGCTACCTGTTTTACAAATCTAAAATTGAGTACTTAAGATAATTATTTTTAACTTGGATATTCATGTTTTCAAATAATATGCATACAATTTAGTTTTATTTATATATTTTTTAATAAATAATTTAATATTTATATACTTTTTACACTACAATCTTGTTAAAATTTTATTAAAATAATTCGGTACTTTTACGAGCTATATTTTATAATAAAAAAGGTGAAAGATAGAAGTACTTTTAACCAGGGTAGTAATAAAAAAAAATTATAAAGGAACGTATTGGTAATGAATTAAAATGTGGTAAAAGTTAGGTTTGAGCTACCTTTGTAGGTGAATTTCAATTTTATATTTTTATCACGACATTAGAAGATATTATCTTCTAAGGGCGTGAGTTTGATTAACTTACTTTGAGGCTTAGACATTCTAAAATCACAAAATAGACTAATTTAGTATATTCTGTGTTAAATCCATGTAATACAACTAATTAGTTTGTTATATCATGCTTTAATTAAATAAATCTTAATATCTATTATCTATAATCTTGAAAAGGAATAATAAATTAAAAATTATAGTGTTCTATTTTTTTCTTCCATGGTATTCGACCGACGTCACGGCTCTTATCAGTTATTGGCCTTTTGTGTTTTTACTTTTTAGTTTTACACATTATGGGTGCCTATTGCTTAGAATATTTAATTAGCTATAATTTTGTAATTTGTGTATCTGTCGCATGAAGTTATAATTCACAATTTGATTTACTTTTACAAATTTAATTTAATTATTTATTTAATGTGATCGATCTGTAATTGTAACGTTTTGTTTAGTTTTGCTGAGGTGGTTGTTACAAAATACTACGCCTGTTATCATGCACAAACGCTTCTAAGTTTGTGTCCAAAAGCTTAGAGCAACGATCAGTACACTAAGTAAAATGGGCAGCTGTTTTAGTTGTCAAAGGGGCTCATCCAGCAAAAAAGACATAACAGGTTCACCATCGAATGCAGGAAATAAGGATGCCATAGGATCACCAGCCATACCCAGTGTCCCCATACAATTACCACCGCATGATAACATACGTGAGGTCAGGAATGGTCCAATGCCTCCCGTACCTGATCAAGAGCCATCAAATGCTACTAATGCTTCAGCTAAAATATTTGTAGCTCTATATGATTATGATGCACGCACCGATGAAGACCTCAGTTTCAGGAAGGGGGAACATTTGGAAATTCTCAACGATACACAAGGAGACTGGTGGCTTGCTAGGAGTAAAGCTACTAAGCAAGAAGGATATATTCCTTCAAACTATGTGGCCAAATTAAAATCTATTGAAGCTGAACCATGGTATTTTGGTAAAATTAAGAGAATAGAGGCCGAGAAAAAATTGCTTTTACCTGAAAATGATCATGGAGCATTTTTAATACGTGATTCAGAGAGCAGACGAAATGATTATTCTCTATCTGGTAAGTTATCAAATGACTAATACTTATAACATTGTTATTATATTTGAACTAGCGATTTCTTTTTTATTATAATAAGTTATTGACTATTCGTTATGTGTATTGTGAATTGTATTTAAGGATATAGATGCTTTATTGAGTATTTATTTATTTTTAGTAGATGATGGTAGTCATTTAAAATTGTATTAATCAACATAGTTTTATATTTTAAGTCTTATAATTAATATATTATTTTATGTTAACTCAGTTTGAAACCAAAGTATTCCAATTATTTTTCAGTCCGTGATGGTGATACTGTCAAGCATTATCGCATCAGACAGTTAGATGAAGGAGGTTTCTTTATTGCTCGTCGAACCACTTTTAGAACCTTACAAGAACTTGTAGAATACTACAGCAAAGATGCCGATGGTTTATGTGTAAACTTAAGAAAACCGTGTGTACAGGTAAAATTAAAAAATCAAAATGCAATAGGGTCTTCACATTTTTTCAAAATTTGTTTTGAAATATCTGTATTAAAGAAAAAAGATAACAAAAATGTTTTTTCTATAGATCATTTTTTAATGTACTTCAATGACAGTATAGTATTAAGTATACTATAGGTACCATATAAATCGGTAGGAAACACGTTAGATTAAAAAAAAATCTAACTTCAGTGGGTTACTATTGTTATGTTCTCTGTTTTGTGCAATAGTAAAGTATAATTACTTAGAATTCTGTACTACTAAAGTATAACATACCTTTTTTTTTTTATACTCAGTTTTATTTTTATATCGTTCAAATGCTACCAAACAATAGTCTAAAGCCAGAAAAATATATTAAATAATTTCTTTTATAAACTGAACTTTTTTAATACATTTTTATTCTAATGGTCTTAAATTTAACCGAAAATGATTCATATGTAAACCTGCTGGGATGTTTGGCTTTAGAAAGTTCAAAATATAAAGAGATTATAATTATTATGTTAATAATAAAAATGTTTCTTCAACCAAAAATTGAAAGATTTTATTTTTAATATTGTGCTAATTATAAAGAAAATAACATTTATTATGGAGAGACTGATATGACAATTTCTTAATGGAGAGGAGAATACAAATAAACTAATAAATAATTATCACAGTAGTATCCATTTCCTTTGCTGTTTGTATGAATTTGACATAGGTACATTAAAATGGTAACTAAAAGATAAAATAAAAACTTGTTAATAATTCCTTTTTCATATTTTCGATAATGATTAATGATAATTTTGTTTAAAATAGTTATAAATATTGTGTTGTTGTTAATTGTACAATCTATACAATTACAAATTATTTTTAGGTTGAAAAACCAGTCACAGGTGGCTTATCACATAGTACGAGAGACCAATGGGAAATTGATAGATCCTCATTGAAGTTTGTGCGTAAATTAGGACATGGTCAGTTTGGTGAAGTTTGGGAAGGGTTATGGAATAATACAACACCTGTGGCTATAAAAACTTTGAAAACTGGTAAATTAATTAGTTGTTATTTTAAACAAATTTATTTCTAAGCGTAATTATTTGTAGGCACAATGGATCCTAAAGATTTCTTGGCTGAAGCACAAATCATGAAGAAACTCAGACATACTAAGCTTATTCAATTATATGCCGTATGTACAATGGAAGAGCCTATTTATATTATCACTGAACTTATGAAAAACGGAAGTCTCTTGGAGTTTTTACAAGGTAAAGATAATTAAATACTTGTAAATCATAATGCAGCTTTAATCATGATGATTTAATCATCATGGATGGCTTCTTGATGATTTCGTCGTCTAAAAAAATGTCGTCAGTTCATCGCCAAAAATGAGATGTAGCAGTGCCTTTTCACCAGATGACTTTTTGCCTAATAAACAGAAGTTCCGTGGCCAACAAACGAACTGGCAACAATTTGCGCAAAACACGCTGACGCCTTACCCACTCGGCCACTCAGTTCTCTTCATTCACTGTTAATCGTTCACTTGTGAATGATTGTTATAAATTCATTATTTGGATCTTTGTTATTTTTTATTAACTATTTTGATTACAGGTAAAGGACGTGGTTTAAAACTCCAGCAACTAATTGATATGGCTGCCCAGATAGCATCTGGTATGGCATATCTCGAGTCTCAAAACTATATTCATCGTGATCTTGCTGCTAGGAATGTTCTTGTTGGTGAAAGCAATATTGTGAAAATTGCAGATTTTGGTCTTGCACGTCTGATTAAGGTTAAATAAAAATAATACATAACTATAAGGTTTTCAAATTTCATGGTCCACAGTTTGTATACTAAACCTGGTTTATTAATACAAACTCTTAGTTAATTAACAAGTAAAAAAGGTGGTCCATGAAGTTTTAAAATGTCAATGTTAAATACCAGGCGAATCTTTTAACGCTCACACTAATTACTCTTAAAATAATTATAAATTTGTAGTTCTTCTTTTTGAATACATATTTGCTTATGTTATGTTATAATACTAGACAATATTCAAAATTTTATCTTTTATAGTAACTCCTAGAGCTTTATCAACTTTTATAACTTAAATGGTAATCTATTTATTTAATTGATTTTTAAATTAATAATAATTTGCTGTGCACTTTGACTGATAGACAACATGTTTTGAATAAATAGATTCAAAATTATTAAAATTTAAAATTTAGGATAGAAGGATTGGTGTAGTGTAGACTATTTTTGATCTGTTCGCATTATTCACCCACTCTCCACATTCTATCCTTTATTTTAAACTTAACTTTGAAAATAATTATTCAAAATTGGTTATCGACAAGTCAAAATTTTCAGCAAGTTATTCTTTATGTTAAAATTCAATTAATTATAGAGAGATGAAAAGGTTCATATTATCTAATACTGTAATATAACATAAACAAATATGTGTTTAAAAAGATAACTACAAAATTTATATATTTTAAAAGTAAACTAGTATAGCGTGTTAAAGAACCTGGTCATTTTAATGAGAAAATTAGCCATGTGATTATTTTTTCGTAACACTGGTATTAGAGTATGAAAATTAAATTGAATATTGAATTTTATGTAGGAGGATGAGTATGAAGCAAGAGTCGGAGCTAGGTTCCCCATAAAATGGACAGCACCAGAAGCAGCAAACTATAGCAAATTTTCAATTAAATCTGATGTCTGGTCTTTTGGAATTTTACTCACTGAGCTTGTTACTTATGGACGTATACCGTATCCTGGTAATTATAAATATGTATTTAAGGGCACCGGTTTTGATTATCTATTAAAGGGAGAAATATTTTGACAAAAATCTTGTTCTAACCAATTTTGATCTCGTCAATTTATTTCTAGATTAATTTGAATTAGCCTTGGACCCGTTTCACACCAAGTTTGTATAGTATGTTCGGTTTTTGTACACCATGTATGAAATTATATTTACTCAAACATGACACGTCATATCCATGTGTATGATATATGTGTAATTTTTAAATGTATGCTCTTTATGATCCATTCTTGTAGTTTAACAGTGAAACAGGTCTTGGGTATAACTTTCAACATAAAATTTGTTTTGTAAAATTTAGAGGCAATTTTAATGGATTTCTGTAATTGCTCAATCATAGGAAAAGGGATAATACCTTGTAGAACGATCTAAAGAAAATAGTATAATAATAAGACTTCCTATAATTGGACTTTGATTTTTTATTGTTACTAAGAGTATTTTTAAAAAAAATTGGTCTAATTCAAACTCTTATTAAAGCGCAAAAGGTACTAAGTCTTTTTCATTAAAAAAAAAATATTTTACTAATTAATTGAATCCAATTATTCTACGAGGTGTTATCCCTTTCATTGTATGTTTAAGTAGTATTAATTGTTTAACAGAAATAGAATAATGATAAATGAACTATAAAAAAAATTAGGTATGACAAATGCTGAAGTGTTACACCAAGTCGAACACGGTTATCGTATGCCTATGCCTCCCAACTGTCCGACAGCGTTGTACGACATCATGCTTGAGTGTTGGCACAAAGATCCAATGAAGAGGCCAACATTTGAAACTCTTCAATGGAAGTTAGAAGACTTTTTCACCATGGAGGGGTCTGAGTATAAGGAAGCATCGGGTTACTGAGATTTAGCCCGCCTCTCGGAGTGGCCTACACATTTACCGGCCGTCGCTTACAATAATGGCATGCCTCCACCATCTGCCATATATATGCAACACGTAGCTGCAGTTTACCAAGCACACAGACGTCAACAACGACAACATATGCACAACATTTATTATCAGCATTGATAAATAAGTCTTTGACCATCAACAGTAAGTCATACATATGTATCTTTTTTTAATTAATAACTTGTTTAAACTACTTAGTTATACATATATATTTTTTTTTAGTTTTATTACAATATATTAGTTAATGTTACTTTTAATCAATTTTAGATTATAACTATTAGGTTTTTATGCTTGCTTTCTCAACTCGTCAACATGTTTCATTATGTTCTTTTTTATTTCCCACTTTTTAATGAAACCGTTTTTTTTTTTTTTTTTTAAGTCATACATATTTATTATAATTACATAAATTTGCAACAAAACATTTTAAAACGAGTTTCTGGTTTTAAGATGTCGCGTTCTCATAATATTGAACTGTGATGTTTTGTTGTTTTTATTTATATGTAATTTACAATCTTCATATTACACTTTTAATGGACCAATATTTGAGATATATATATGTTGTTTAATAACATTAATTCCATTAACTCGTGATATACTTTTCTATAAATTATTTACAATTTATAAATATCACAAATTTGAAGAAAAGCAGTTTTTAAAATCAAATCTTAGCGACAGTTTTATAAGTTATCCACTGAAAATGTGTAATGATCATTTTTTTGTGTAGCATTCATGGTACATAATATATGGTGACAAAACTTTTCTAACTAAAAAAACTAAAGTGTTGTATTGTAAATTACTATTAATGAGTTATTTGATAATTATTTTGAAAACTTAACATATAATGTTTGCTTTTTTAATGCATCACTATAATCACAAATTCAATTTTTTTCTTTACATACATTTTGTATCCTTAAATTTGGTTTTATAATATTTTCTGTTAATTAAGGTAATTTATATTACATCACAGAATCTAATTTGTAATTTTGTATTGCAAATAGCAATGAGTGTCCAAAGAATATTTTTTTTTGCATTATTTATTTGTGTATGGTGTAAACAACAAATATGTTTTATGACTTACTAAAATAATAATTTTAAAGTACAAAGCCAACTCCAAAGGTGTTCTTAATACTATTGACGAATTTACGTAAACAAAAAAAAAACATCTAAGTGTTCATATTTTCAAAGCGATTTCGAGAGGTAAACGTAAAAAAAAAATGTAAATATTTAAATAGCATAATCAATTTTGTTCTCATCACGAGTTTTTCTATATTACTTAGTTAAACATTTAAAGTATTTCTTTACTTTTTTTTAGTACTTTTGCGTGTGTGCTAAAATAGAATACTATATATTTAATACTTAGATGAAAACGAACAATTTATTTATAAATATTTATACATGTTTTTCATTTTTTTAAAACTCCTATATTAATTTTATTTTATTCGTATCATTTGTATTACATTCTTATTGTTAGTTCCTTAATTTATATTACTTTACACACTTGTTAATTTGTATATTCCAAACGTTTAATGTTTATTAAAATAAAAGAAAAAGACATTTTATTACAATTTTAATAACAAATTACCTAATTATTATTATTATTACTATTATTATTATTGTTTTATGTATATATAAATGTTTTAAATATTATAAAATCTAGTATAATTAATAGCTTTAATTATTAATCATTATTTTGGGATTATATTAAAATGTAATGAAAGAATAATACAAATTGTACCTACAAATGTACTGTTTCATTTTTTTAATAATAAATTGTCAATAAATGCTTTTAATATGTATATTATTGGTTGTTAATGTTGTTATTTTCATAGTATTTGGACTTAAAATTTGCTCTAATATTAATATATTTTTTTTTTTTTATAAAACTAAAATTGGAATCCAGTATAATATATGGCTATTAGTCAAAGTGTTTGAGAGTAGTTTCATCACTTTTAGATTTCTGGTACATTCTAACATAATTGTTTAGTTTTTATATTTAAGCTAACTAAGGACTAAGTTAAACTTAAGTAAAAAACACGAACTACTTTTTTTAAGCAATTTTTATTATTCATACTTTTGATAGTGGCATAGCGAAAATCTCTGCAAAAAATGTATACATTTGTTTTGATTATTTATCTTCATGCTTTTTTACAGGGAGATAAATTTAATATAAGACACTCCATTTCTCAGAAAGTAATAACAATTACTTTCTACATTAGTATCGACATCTTTATTTATGTTATTTTACATTATTATGAAATTACTAAATATTTACTATTTTTAATATCTTTTAGAGCTTTACCAACTTTTGAAACATAAATGATAAAATACATAATTTATTGGTAACTTAATTTTTTGAATTAAGAATAATTTGCTGAAAACTTACTAGCCAATAATCAGTTTTTGATAATATTACTTTTAAAGTTATTAGAGTTTAAAATTAAAGATAGTAGGTGATGTGCGATTGAATAATGGGGTTAGATAAAAATAATACTTCACTCCACCTTTCTTTCCATCCTAAACTTTAAACTCTAATAACTTTGAAAGTAAAATCTGAATCTGGTTACCAGTAAAAATGCTCAGCAAATTACTCTTGGTTTAAAAAGTTAATTAAATATAATAATATATGTTACTGTTCATGTTTCAAAAGTTGATAGAGCTCTGGAAAATATAAAAAAAAGGTAAATATGTAGTAATTTTATAGGCGACCACGTCCTTCGAACTACAGTAGGTAAGTAGTATCTAAATACAAATAAACATATTTTTGATATGATTTAGGTACTCAACATATAACAAGTGATGCGTTCGTTGTGTTGACAGTAACTTGAGACCTTTTGAACAATTTTTACGGTTGACAGTAAAAATTGAAACCTTTAATTAATATAATGTCGATCGTAGAAAATAAATACCAAAGGCACAAACCACAAAAATCGGATTAGAATACGTTATTTTATCCCTAACGGGCAGAAGTGTCCCATCTCTACTCTTGTCTAGGGTTAAGATATGGCAATTTAAAAAAAAGGAAAAGAAAAGGACAATAAGAAGTACATAATAATCGTTACAGCTATACATAATTATTTATTTTAATTCGCTATAAAAGTAGCAACTAAAAGATATGATGTATTCTATTTTCTTAAAATATATAATTGTAATAAATTAATAACTATGATTGTGACAATTTATTTAAGTGATGTCGAAAAAGTACTACAAGCGCACTAGACAAAAATTTGTAAATACTATTTTAGACTTAAGAAATAGGCAGTCTTATAGAGAATCACTAAAAATCTATTGACTAGTTTTAGAAAAAAGGTACATCATAAATTATGTATATTATTATTAATATTATGTATTTTTTAAATATAAATATTCGGACGTTCTTTTTCTAAAAAAAAGAAAAAAGAAGCTTATTTAATATAAAATCGAGTATTATTATAAGTATAAATTATTGTTCACTACTAAGGCGACAGATATCTAAATCATTAACTTTATCACAGATTTGACATAGCATATACATAATTGATAAAATATGCGTATAGACATAGGCGTGGTAGAAAATAATATTCTAACAAGGACAAAGTAAATATAATATCTTTTCCCATTTTTGTTTTCACGGCAAGCTACAGTACACTATGTAATAAATAATGACGAGGGGCTTACGTTCATGAATACAAAAAGATAAACAGTATCAAGGGTGTAAAAAACGAGATTCAATAATTGATAAATCGAATCGCAATTTTTTTTAATAAAAAAAAAATGTGTTCATATAGAGAATACGCGTATACAAAGACCAACTTTATGCTAATTCGTAATTATTCAAGTTTATCTAATTATACAAAAAAAAAAAAACTAACCGTTTATAAATCGGTACCTAGTTACATAAAAGTACATCAATGATAAATCTATAACGATATTCGTGTAGGTAGACCAATTTCGTAAATCTTAATATTATTTTTTAGCTTAGAGATACGAAATCTTTTATTTTGTGAAGCCGATTATTTCTGAGAATATTATGTTATACTTTATGCTAATTATTTTATAATTAGCCCAGTGACTAGGTCAGATATTTTCTCTACGGGCTTTGATGCATCTATAATCATTTATAATAATTAAGTATTAAAAGTTTGATTTCTTAAACTACTGGCGAGGCAAGTGCTCCAGCCTTACGCCCCCCACGAGTTTTACCAAAATCACACGTATATAAATCAATTGTGTACACTTTTCACTGAACGTGTATGCAATCAGAGCTGAAACTCGACACTCAGGGTGCCAAAAAGGATCTCACACACGAACATTCCAAAATCCGGATTTATCCCGACCTCTGAACGATCTGCGGTATTTGGAAACAACGATTGAACTATTAAAGCGTTTTAATCTTGTGCACATTTTTAACGCGCTTTCTCGAGTTAGAGTTAGCTATCATACTTGACTACAATAAAATAAAATCTCAACTGCCACACAAAAGAAAAGAACAAGAACCCCGAGCGATAGACGGATGAACTAAGGTCTTAAAACTTTTCGTTCTACTGCAAAGTTTTTGCAATAAAATTACGGTACAAAGAAACAATTGGCTTAGGTCGCATCCTCGATTACTAATAACAATTCTAATGTATATGTCATGTATTCTAAGAAAGTATAAATATTGATCATAAACATTTATGTTCCGACTAGAAACCGCACAGAAAGTTTAGCCAAGGTCTTTATTTAAAAAAAAAAAAAAATCACTCTGATCGCTTATTTTTGAAAACATATTATTGTCAATAATGTTTCTATATGGACTGTGTGGAGTATGAAATGAAATGGGCTATAAAAATATGTTTATCGTTTCAAACGTTACTATGGTAAACGTTTACTGTGTTGTATATATTGTATGCATATAAATCGTGAAGTAACCAGGTCTATTGAATGGGCACGTTCGAAAAATATTATGCGTTATTTTGTTGTAAAATAACTTACAAAATACAACCGTCGATTCAAATATCCAATAATAAAAGAAACGACGTACATACGGATGAGTGTATAATACTTACAGACCCGAAGTGACTTTTATGCGCAAGCCATTATATGATATTTTTTATATAAATGTTGATAAGTGATGGTAAATATTTTGTGATTTCCTTTTAGTTCGTTCTGGATAGTAGTGTAATATTTGAGGGTAGTTAGGCGTCATACTTTATAATTACATATATTATAAGACGAACGTTAAACGTGTAATGATTGTGGACAGGGTCGGTTCGATAGGGCATGAAAAATGACCGGCGTTGAATAAAAGTAGAAATCGTTAAAGTACAAATTCCAAATTAAAAACGTCTCGTACATTTATCAAACGGATACCAATAAGAAGATCTACTGCGGCGGGGGTTTAAATATCTACTAAGACTGCGATTTCTTATATGAGATAAATGGACGGCCATCAATAAAACGCGCTTTGCCGCATCCGTCTTTATAAATGTATTTGTTCACTACACATTAGCCTAAAATTCTTACGGCTGTTATTAAGACGAACAAAATTGGTCAGTCCTACAGGTACATAATAAAACCGCCGTAAAGAGTCCGAAAGAACTATAGCGATTCGTTTACCTATACTATTGTACACTTATATGTAAACACCCGCGCAGGGTATGACGTGCCAATGCAATATTGAGCACATACTTAAGTAGTTTAATCGATTTACGGACAACATCGGACTACACTTATTAGGAATATCAAGTTAACGTAATAAATATATAGGACAAAACTTAACGAAACTTGGCCGTAGTCCCGTGGGACCTCGGTAAATAATGATAGGGTGGGACGGCGCCCGTATAGATGCTGTATGTGCGACCCAAATATCGGTTAACGCGAGTTCTCTTGTGTTCGATTATCACAAAGTAGTTGTTTAAGTTTTCCTCTTTACGCTCGCCTCGATCCGCACGTCCAGGGTGTTCACCGCGTTCGAGTCGTCTTCGGGCCGCCTGCCCGGGAACCGTGACCGCACCAGCGCCTCGGACCTCTCCTCGGGAATGGCCAACGTCACGTACGACCGGGACTGAGGGGGAGGCGCCAGCAAAACCGGGTTTTGCGGCACCGTAAGTAGGTTGCTCTTTGTTTCTTTCGAACAATGGCCGGTCGCCGTCGGACCGGCGGATTCCAAGTCCGACATCGACTTCACTTGCTTGGGTTGCCAGTCCGAAAACTGACCGTCCACGGCCGACGAACACGGTTTTTGCGAGCTCGGGTTGGTTTTTTGCTGTGGTTTCGGTGGGCTGCACCTGTCGTTTTGGGTCGTCTGTAACAGGATATCGTCGAATCTCATATTGATTTGTAATATAATATTAATAACGGATTATAATGAACACAACACGTTGTCTAGTTCTTGCAGTACACGGAACAGGGTTAAGATTTAGAAAATAGAAAAAAAAAATCTTAACTTGTGACAGATTTTCCTTTCAAGTTTCATGACGACACTCTATATACATTAAACACAAACCTTAAACGCACACGTTGGCGAGCCAAGCGCCGTTTTTCAACTTAACAAAAAAAAAATCAATTGTTTTTTCATCAGTCACCCGTGATCGGTAAAAAATGCACGGTTGCATAACAGTGATTATGGGATTATGTGATTGTAACTGTGATTATTCGAAAATTGGGATCCTAATACTTTATATTTTAAAATTTCATAAATCAAATACTCATAACTATATTATCTTCATCATAATCATCATACATTTTGAACCCAATTTGACTATATGGTTTGAAAATGTGTATTATTCTTTATGCTGGAGGGTAAAATAGGTTGTTTTCTATCCCTTTATCAATCTAATTTTGTGGCAAGGTGCGCTGCTAGCCGACGTATATTTTTTACAACTGTTTTTGGATGATTGTTGAAATATGTTGTAAAATATTTATTACAACTTTTATCTTTAAATAAAGCAAATAAGCACCACGGTTGCCGAATTAAATATTATTATGCATAGAATATATTTTGTTACGTACGGTCTTATAGTATATTATTCAATAATCTTAACAAAAAAAAAAAAAAACGGCATTATTAGAAAAAATAATTTTAATTTTTAAGTTTGTATTATTATTGTTAAAAAATTATAGCTTTTGAATGTTGTCTAGGAACTATTTAGTCTATTTAGTAATATTTATTGTTTTAATTTAAACGGAAAATTCGCGAAAGAGATTGTTTAGTAATTTTACTCGTTTGAATTAAATTGACTAAAGTACACCTGATTTTCTTTTAATTTGATTAATGTCACTTTTCAATTACCTGCTTTCAACAATAAAAGTTTATATTGATTGACAGTTATATAATTAAAATTGATTCAATTTAGTTTTTAAGAATGATATCGGCATTGGTATCCGTAGCAACTGTGGCGTATACTTTAAAGTTTATGTACTTGAACCTGTACATTTAGTTCACTAGTGCTTAAAATATTCTCGACGAATGGTTAAAAAATAACGTTATTGATTAAAAATATAATCGATAATTTTTTTTTAGTACTCACGAAAAACTGCCGATTCCTCGGTTTGAATTGAGGTATCATGAACGAAGGCATTAATGCAGGTGGCATTAGAATATTAGATTCTTGAACGGTTTGACGTCTTCTCTGAGAGTGCATTACCGGTTGTTCTGTCGGTCGGCCACTCCACGAGTTGAACGAGAACCTTCTTCCTTGGTCTGGGTTCAAATTCACAATATCATATTAACAAATTTGTTCACAGGAAAAAATGACTTGTACGATTACTTTGATATAACGGCGAAGGTGGTAAGCTTTTGAATGTAAAGTCGGCGGGCAAAGAAAACTCTTTACATAGTGGATTTTGATTTCCGTATTCTTGGTCTAGTGCCATTTGCACCAATTGTTCCTCTTCCTCGGCCGCCATTTCTCTCTCCAGCTGATCTTCCATATCCATTTCGTCCTCCATCTAACATATCAGAAAATAATTCTAGATTAATCGTTATCATAGGTGTTTTGTACTGGGAACGTTCCGTAGGCGATACGCCTCTTAATTTGAATTCGATTAAAACAAAATATAAAACGAACCGTTTTTTAATAAATCTAATAATGGTCGATACGGTAATATTTTTAAATAAATGTAAATTAGAGTGATAAAAAAGGCCTTTATTTTTATACCGAGTCGATGATCGTTAAACTTCAGAATTAATTACTTTCGCTGTATTGTATGACCCAATATGGTATTTACATTTTACTATGAACCCTACAGGAAATTATATTTATCGCCGTTTTATTGCAATCTGTTACTTCGAGCGTGTATATGTTTTATAATTAGCTTTTCTACCTAATTGATAGACCGAGTGCTATTTACATACTCGTAATTTGTAAAGCTGTGTTCTATTAATAAGCTATGCTGTGTTGTGATAATGTGGAGCGTGACAAACAAGCTTTCATGTAAAACAAAAGCTTTTTATATCGAACAACCTTTTTTTTTCTGTAATAGTATTTTTTGGCGCGAGAAATATAGAACTACCAGCTATACTTGACATGGATGATAAGTATGGCGCTATAAAAAAAATGGCGTTTGGCCTTTTGAATGCTCTAGGAGTCATACAAAATGTTGTGCATCTTTAGATTATAACTATATTCGTATCTAGGCCAAAGTATATTTTGAATAAGTATAGAAAAGTTTGTATTTAACGGATGTATCTTATGTAGTCTAAATATTCAATTTTGTTTTATTGCTAAGGGCTTGCCGCTTGAGAACAATGTAAAGTGTAACGCATAAAAGTTTAATTAAAAGCATAAAGTTTCTGTTCTAAAAAATTGAAGGATGACATTGAGTGATAAAAAGCACCGGTTTTAAACATTTTTGTTTTGTTTTTAATAACAGAATTGTTTATCGTTTTATATTAGTTTATTAAGATTGTATTTTCATTGGTAATTTATCGATTTCAACAGTGGCGCCCGACTCATAGTTTGTAAGTGCAGCAAAGTATTAATTTTACGAAACCACAGTTATACAATAAACACGGGGACATATTTATTGTATAACTTTATTTTTCATGCGCATACATAATAAATACAATGAGTACTTATTTGGAAAGGCACAATGTCTCAGTTTTATTGATATCACAATTAAATTAAGCAAAATGTCTTTTTTAAACCGTACACTCTAGGTGCAGGTATTTTTTTGTGTAAATAAGCTTTGTGTAGATGTTATTCATTTGGTTTTTATACATAAAGTAATCGAATATATATAATTACGCTTTGCTAAACTTAAAATTATAAAAGTTTTTCTCAGAATATTAGGCAAATGCTACACATAAATTATTTATGTTTATTTTCCACTTCGATAGTTTATATTATATCGATCAGGGTCGGACTGGCACGGGTAGGTCAGGATTTCGGCACCTCATTCCCTCAAGGGTCTAAGTCTTGAAGTTTATCCCCCAATCTCAAAATCCACTTTTCTTCTAGATTTAAACGAACAAAAGCCACCGAGTACGGCTAAAATGGAAAACTATATTCATACTATGGGCTACCACTGTGTGGAATAAAATAAAACAGCTAAAAAATGTACATTATTATTTTTGCCTTTATTGAAAAATTCAAATAATAATGGCGGTTGGTTTTACCTGTTTATGCGATTCTTCGAGATGCTTCATGAGAACAGCCACGACGACGTTGACCAACACGAATTGGGCCATCAATACAAATATGACGAAAAACATTGGCGCTATTCCGGCAGCTACACAACAGTTTTTTACACAATCGGCAGCGTCGTCACAGTCTTCCCTAAGTGCGTCCTTCATGATCCCGTTCCAGTTGTCGCCGGTGGCCACACGGAACAGAGTCAAAAACGCCATGCCGAAGTTACCGAAGTGTGCGTGCTCGCCCAAGCCTTGGCACGCATGCTCTTCGCTACATTCTAAATACACAGTTTAAAAATAGTAAGACACGTGAAAATTGTATTTTCTCATGCAGTCATTAGGTAAGACAGTGGTCAGAATCCAAGAGAGTCTAGTTAGTTCAGTAAGTACCTATATTGTGGTTATATTTATTGCAAATAAACAGGGACGTATTTAGGGGGGCCAGAGGGGGCTTAGGCTCCGGGCGGTAAATTTTGGAGAGCATTTTGGTACTTAAAATGTACTCTCTGATAATAAAAAATAACTATCAAGATTTGTATGCATATGTAGAAATTGCCTTACGAATTTTTCTTTCTTGTCCTATTTCTAACTGTTCTGCTGAAAGATCTTTTTCAGTCTTAAAAAGGGTCAAGTCCTATTTGAGATCAAGAACTACAGACGAGGCGCTAAATTCTTTGGCTGTTTTAACCATAGAGTCCGATTTATCAAAGAAGTTAGGTTATAATGATATTATTGATACCTTTGCCAATGAAAAAGCTCGGCGTAGACATTTTTAACTTATTTAATATTGTTATACATATGGCCTATGAGGCATTTTATACACTAAGGGAATTTTTTTTTAAACCTATTACATTTAGGTTTTTTGTATCAACTATAATTAATAATAAATATACCTACTATAATTATGTAATATGTGATTCAATAAATGTATTTTTTTTGTACACCTAATAAACCTTTTAGATTACGAGTGTAGCGAAGTATGCATTGGTTTCACTATCATGTGTTTTTTTTACAAATACACCTATTGCTGAAGAAATTTAGGTTGGGAAGGGGGCGTTTTTTTTCTTACCTGGGGCGCAAAATTCCTAAATACGTCTCTGCAAATAAATTAATACCTAAACCCTTAACCATAAAAATAATACACTCTATATGCGAATACGTATTTTGGCAATAATGTTGACAGTCTGTCGTTAGCGCTGAAGATGACAACGTTGTTGCCAAAGTACGCATAGAGTGTATTATCTTAAGGGTTAAGGTTCATTTCTTTACTAACAAAGGTACTATTTATTAGCCAGAAAAAGTGATTTAGATAAATCACACAAATATTTTGTAGGTAAGTAAATAGCATTTTTTGTCAATAATTAATACTGTTTAACTAGACAATGTTAGCAATTATTATTTAATAGTAATAGATGCTTACCGAGTCTTCCAAACAATTCCACACCTAATGCGGCGAATATGAAAAACAATAGGAAAAATAGCAAACCCAAATTGCCCACTTGTGGTAAAGCTTGCATGACGGTATCTAAAAGAGCTCTTATTCCTTTAGCCATCTTCAATAATTTCAAAACTAAAAACAAATAATAATAATGTCGTGTTAAAAATTTGTATATCAAGTAATTTCAAATTATATTAAGTACTAGCATAGAAAAATTAATAATAATTTTTAAAGTAACATTGAATTTAATTTGGCGTGTAGCCAAAATAAAGCATCGTATTTACTATTTATGTTTAGAGATAAAGATAGACTAAAGTTGAACTTGTTAATTTCTTATAATCCATTTTTAAATTCTTAACAATGCACTACTCTAAATCCTCGGTGTTTAAATTAATTTTATTTATCATGTTTTATAATTACTTAATCTAAAACTACTATTATTTTAACAATAAACATTTTTTCTAACAATAAACATTAACACGTGTATTTGCTGAACTATCGATGTATTTTAATACAATTCCGTTTTGATGGAGTATAACTTCAGATTGAAAGACTGTAAGTAACTTGAGATTTGCAATTTTGGTAAAAGCATTTCAAGTTTTTCCTTATTCGTTCAGAACAGAGTTGGGTGTTTCAGTAGAAATAAAAAGTCATGTTTCTATTGAGTTTACACTTGTTGGCGAGTACAATTAATATAATAAGCATAACGAATACGATTCAGCCTTTTTGCCTCGGCAGAACACAAGTGCTTACAACGTTGCCGCGGCTGCGGTCGGGGTGGTCAAGTGAACATTTATTTTAGGATTGCTAATTGGTCGTGTGTGCTTTTACCTACACACTTATAGGTTATGCGCAATAAACTCGTATCCACGAATAAGGTACGGGCAACGGTTATTATGCAAATCCGTCGGTTAAAAGTACACACGTGTAGATTGTAGAAATTATGTAAAGATTTAACTAGAAAACGCTAACCATGAACACCTGGTGCCTTCATTTGTTCGACCCAAATCTACTGGTACAACTACCGACGTGGACGTGGAACTTACCCCTGGCGATTCGCATGACTCTCATTACCCGGATTATGGTCGGGTTGATTGGTATGATTTTAGATTCGAGTTCTTCAAGCGTGATTCCCACGATAGATAATAGGACAATACCGATGTCCAGTATGTTCCATCTGTCTTTCACGTAAAGCTGCATCCCGAGGGCCAACATCTTCATCACGCATTCCAATATGAAAACTGCGGTGAAAAAGTAGTTGAATATTTTCAACGCGTACGTCAGGGCCTGAAAAAAGTTTTTAAAAAACGTGTACCGTGAATGGGCAATACATAATAGTGTTGTTTTAGAATCAGAACGCGGCAAAGCTCAATAAAAATGCTCAAGTACTGTTTAGGTTGCGTACTAAACGCTTGTATTCATAAAAATTACTGATTAAAGTAACCGTTCATCACGAGGAAAATTCGAGTACTCGTTAATTTAGTTTATTTATGTGTGTAGAATCGTTGTAGGATTAAAAATAACTAGAGTATAATTATTAATTATTAGTAAATACCTATTATATGTATATATATATTTTAAATCCTTATAAAAATAAAACTATTATTTAATACAGCCATTAGATAAAAACGTGCAAATGGATCATCACGTTTTACCGGCGAAGGCAAAAATACCCTCTTTTGATTTTACACGTACTTTAGGCATCATGTAGAACTCTAGAGCCATAGTGACAACGTTAAGACCGATGACAGCGGCGATCGCCAGGTCGAAATATTTAGACGTCACGACGCTGTGCACTAACAGCCGGGCACTGCTGTAATCTCTGTAGTATGGAGGCTCGTGCATTTCTATAAAAACAAATGAACAAAGATTACGTTTGAATTAAAAATCGTTTTTGATTTCTTGATAATGAACGTACTTCTACGTTTCTTTTCCATTTGTTTGGCGCGTTTAGCCAGTCGTCGGACTCTTTCCTCTTTTTCCTGTTCTTCCCGACACCGGTGGAAATTCTCTACCACGACACCGACGAACATGTTCAGGACGAAAAAACCGACCAAGAGTATGAATGATATGAAGTATAACAAACGCCATTCGGAATAATTTTCAATAGGCTAAAGGGGACAAAAACAAACCATTAAAAATATGAAGTTTGAAAATAGTTATATAAATCAAAATACCATCGACGCGAAAAGTCGTAAGACATAATAAAAATAATAATATAATATTGTACTTAATGGAATAGCGTACTTGCTGATCCACCCCGACCGCGTCTAAGCCTGTGTACATGATATTAACCCAGCCGTCTCTAGACGACAAAACGAACAATGACATTAACGCTTTGCCAAGGTCATCGAAATTGTACTTTTGATTGACCCAAACGTTTTTCTTGTCAGCTAGACATTCTCTTTTGTCACGCACGTGTTTAACGTTAGGACCCTCGCAATGAAAAAACGTTCCTTTGAAAAGCTAAATTGAAATATAAGAGTTATTAATATTAATGACCGATGAGTTTTTAAATATTTATTACAAATACATTTTAAAAGCAGAAATTCATAAACAGTCTGTTAGGTTTTGACACTAAGGCGTTGGGAATAAGATGTCGGGACACTCGGCTACCGCTTTTAAAAAAAACCACTGATTTTGTAGCGTAATTAGAGAGTTTAGCCTCTACAAAAAAAAAAACTTCCAGACTTTATTATCACAATTAGTTTTATAATGTCTATGCTTCAGTCTTATTATCTCGGCTTCTTTGAATATTTTAGAGAAAAAAAAATGGTTATTTGATAATAGTTATGTGATTACTTAAATAACTAAAATTAATATTTTTTTTATTAATCGAGAATAACTAATGGTAGCTGGTAAATGGTAAGTTCTACACTCTTCGTTAGTAAAAATTTATAAATATTTGTCATCTTCAATGACGTGATTCACCAATGTATGATTTATTGGTTAATTTTTTATTGTGTTTTGATGTTCTTTAGCGCGAAAAGACTGCGATTGAGAATGGATATTAAGTAGTTAATATACTTGACAAGTCATAAATAGTATATATTCTATATAGAGCCATTCAACAACATAACTTTGCCTTAATGCTAGATCCACAGGGTTATAATAATTTATTAAAATTTACTCTTTCCAAAAAATGTCCAGTGTTAACAAAATAACACATGTGTTGAAAAAGTTCATCAAAAATGTCAAAATAGTTTTAAAGCGTACGAAACGCTGTTAAAGGAAAATCTGGCGATTTTATAGTAGTAAATCTGTTATTTAAATTGATTTTTAAACTTTGTGTAGGTAATTATCTTCTTTGTTTTTTACCACTATTGTCCTGTGTAAATAAAAACGTTTAATTAGAAGCACGCGATAGTCGGTCCTGGTTATATTACTACAATTTGAGTTTCACTTTAGCTTTTTCTTAATTAAAAAACTTATTTTAATGTTGGCTACTATTTTTCGTACATAAACAAAATGTAGAAAAACAAACAATAAGCAAAACCAACTCTAAGTTTTAGTTAATTTTACCGAGGTATTTGTATTAAATAAATATAATTAAGAAACATAATCAGTTTATATAAATGAGTAAATTAAAGAAGGTAAGTAAAAAAAATCAATACCTATTGCAACTTTATACGCTTTTAAATCCTTAAGGGATTATAACATTCAACTTAAAAATAAAACTACTAATTAAATAAAATAATTATGGTAGTTGGATAGTATCGACTCGTATAATATTCTACTATCTACAAGCATTACAAAGTACGCAAATAATTATTGTGAGTTTTTAAAAATTGGTAAGTAGTTTGAGACAAACACAAAATCAGTAAGTACTTGAACTCAACCGTGTATACGGGAGTTGTCGATGATGCTGTAGTAGATTTTGATTTTATTACTTTAATTTAATAATAATAACATACTTCTGTTATAAAGTTCAAGGGAATTATTTTTTTTAAAATTGTTAATAAACTAAACTAAGCATATAACGTACGAGGAAAGTGTTTGTATATGTTGCATTATAAAATATGACAGCATCACGTTGTCTTAAAACATAGTTCAAAGCTATACTTTTGAGAGAAAACCACAGGAAACAACACTGCAGGATAAATCGACCGAAAGATGGATTGATCTAGATAAAAAAGACGTCGAAAGCAGACCCTCCCCGGAGTTAAGTATATATTATCCAAGAAAAAAGATAAAAAGGACATAAGGTTGTTAAGCATGAAGGTTATGAGAAAAATTCAAAGCAAGTAAATTTGGCGAGATTCAGTAATAGTGATAAAATCGTTCACAGAATATGTACGTTAAATGAAGTAGAACTTACAATTTTATGGGAGCGAATAATGTAAAGTTATGAAAATTGAAAACAATTTTTGAATACAGTTGTCAAAGTCGGGTAATTTGGTTTCAAAGTTTCCGAAATGTACATTAAGTATTAACTGTTTATCGATTTTGTAATAAAGTAGACTGGTCTATTAAAAATTTAAGAAAATATTATATAACGTCCCTTGAGAATCCGATATTGTGTAGAAGTAGTTTTGGGACGTTATAATACGTAGCTGAACGTCCAATCATATACACTCACACATCATAAATTTATTACACGCTAAAACTTTACGGAGCACATCTTATAGATAGTACTGGGAAACTCCCAGTATCATATATACCTCTGGTATCAAGTGAATATACGGATATAAGTCAAAACCATTACAAAGTTACATAAGAAATCCTAAACTTTTTACAAATAAAACTAGGTATATCTATATAAGTATTATGTTACAATACTCTTTTAATTAACAAAACCCAAAAGTTGTATTTAGGTTTATGTCGCGTATTTTTGATTAAAATATACTTACTTGGACTCCCAGAATGCCGAAAATGATAAAAAAGGTGCAACATATCAGAACAATATTGCCGATCGGTCTTAATGAAGACAGTAATGTTTGTACCACTAGTTTAAGACCGGGAGCTCTGTTGATTACTCTCAACGGCCGTAAAGATCTTAATAGTCTAAATACCTAAAACAAAAAAAAGAATTATTATTTATAGTCTGATTAAAAAAAAATGCATTTATTTTTTAATCAAGTGTGTTAATCTAAAGTGAAGCTATGACGTGGATGTGTCGATTTTATAATTTAAAATAAACTGAATGAATGGTATTATTCAAGTTTTTATACTTAACGTATCGACGGTGAGAACTACATCCGGCTGGTGCATTAGTGCGAGGCTACGTTTTGGTCTTTGTAAATGTTAATATTCTCCCCCCCTCAGAGACTTCCAACTCGGAAGCTTTTAATATTTAACTATACTCAACTGGATGATCTCTATAATACATACAATACCGATGTGATATTATAGTCACGACGTTCGTGCTTCTTTACTTATTAAAAATTACATCTTGAATGTACTGGAATAATAAATCGGATTTTTCTTCTATAAAATTATTTACATATAAATGTGCTGTTTGGGTCTAACGAACGTATCGAAATACTTTCTTATTCTTCAATAGAGTATTTCTCATAATACTTGAGTAATTGAAATGGTGAAAATCAATAGGGTACAAGGGACATATATTTCAATATTGATTTTTCCTTAATTCGACTATAAAGTTAGTATGACTATAACTATGCAGTAGGACATGTAGATAAATGTATGAATAAAAAAAATATAAATGCACTTCTTTATTGTTTTGCCTTTTAATTTTTTTTTAATAGATATGTGCATTTGTACTACCTTTTTGGTTAACACACATTTTTGTCACACCTGTTTAATATTTTGTTTGTAACAGTTTAAATGTATTTGAACTTCTATAGGAATTTTATTTTTTATGCGACATTATCATCGTTAAAACTGTTTGTTAATGATATTATGTTGGACACCCAAAGCAGATGTAAAACGTAGAATTTATTTATATATATATATATATATATATGTACTTTATAAGTTATCATTGTACATGTTACCAATTACATGATTAAACCATCAAATATAATAAATATATATGCATGTATAAAACAACCGTCAAATATATGAACTTATGTTACATAAATTCTGCTATCTCTTTTTATTTTATCTAAAATTTAGTTATAAGCAATATAATTACCCTTAAAATTCCAAATATTTTCGGACTACTTTCGGAGATCAATGACATGAGCAAATCAATAATAGATACGATAACTAGTAATCCGTCCATGATATTCCATCCTGACTTGAAGTACGGTTCTGTTCCGTAGAACATGCCGGCAGCAACGACCTGGACAAATTATATAATTCGTTTTAAATACTAAAGTTATACTTTCGATTTAACTGCAAAAAACGCAATTACTTTGACAAACATCTCGAGTGCAAAAACAACCGTAAAAACGTAATTGGCAGAGCCCAAAAACATTCTCTCGCTGCTGTCTGGCGGGATGTTCGGTCTTTCCATGGCTAATGTTATGCAATTCAGCGCTATGAACATAAGCACCGCGTTGTCGAACCATTTTTGTTTGATGAACTTTGCACACGATTTCCTTAAACTTCAATTATAATATCCGTCGTTAATGCAATTAAGTCTTTATAAAGCTAAATTAAATTAATTACAAGACAAACGTAACGTTTGAGGTATTAAACTATAAAAAAGATATTTTATTTTTTACAGTTAATCCATAATTATATCGACTTAAAAGTGTTGTATTGAGTACAATTTAAAAAAGCCAGTACAGAAGGGTCGGGGCATAGTGGGGACGGAGAGGTCACAGGTCTACAGATTTTATTTTAACTGAAAGTAATAAAATCACTTTTAAATAAACGCTTCGATGCGAATCTGTGGATAGTATGTTCAAACCAGATATAGCGGTTTAGAAAATATCGTGGGACCAACAATAATGTACTTAAAATTTAATATTTAGTCTTGTGGAGGGTGGATACGATAAGGGTTGATCGTCTGTCTATAAAAATGTACTGTCATAGTTACCCAAACATCATAATTAACAATAAAATGAAAATATTTTCATTACCTGTTGACTGTTGATTCACTCACACATAGCAACCTAGAAAACTGACTACGGCCAAAGTGTAAATTTTCCCTATTTTTGGTGTTTTTCCATAATAAAAAAAAAAATTTGACTACAGATTTTTGAGAAAATTGTGTATGTTATAGATCCATTTTAGATCTATCTTCGTTCTAATTTTCAGATCTAAATCTTTAAAACTTTGCTTGAAAAAGTGAAATAAAGAAAAAAATCCTATCCCTTCTAGGGGAAAGGGTTTATGATATTTTTTTTGGTTTGTTAATGTTTATCGATAGTAATGTTTGAAAAACAATTCAAATCAATTTGGAACTTTTTCGACTATTTTTATAAGTTACAGAGCATCGTTTTTAAGTTGAAAAATATGTAACGCTTAAAAGAAGTTTTGGTTTTCAACGCGGTGCAAAATTTATAAAGTATTTTCAAAAATGACTTGTAAAATAGAATACGATGCAATAGACTATGCTTGTTTTAACGAGTTTAAATTCGTCGAATCGGGTGTATAAAATAATTACTTCCAAATGGAAGTATTAAACTCTAGTAATTGTTAGATAGGCGCAGAGCGTCAATTCAGATGGAGTTTTTATATTATTAATAAGTTTACTTACGGGTGATTTAGTGGGAAAATGTACAGCGAGTATTCCACTCGGTCTTTGAGCCATCCTTTTTCCTCGATAAAGTAAAATACTCTGCGGATGTTGGCTTTGGGGTCTTCAGCTTCACAGTCGCAACACGGTTCGGACGATCTGTCGTCGCCCCTAGCGCAAATTTCTGAATTGCACGGCTGACAGCAGTCGTACTGACAAGTGCTTAGCACATAATTAACAGTATTCTGTGAATTAACACCAAACGCATCAATTTATTAGGTATTATCACGTCAACAATGTAAACCGTGATAAGTAATAAAAATATATAAAGTTGACTGATAGAAAACATGACAGTAAATTTCAAAAATGTATTACAATATGTTTTTTATTTTCTCCCATTAAGAGAGGTTAGACTCTTAAATAAAAATTGATACTTTTGGTGTCCTCGGTGGCAAGTCATAAGCTATGATTTGAACCGAGAATTGCGGAAATGAGAAATGTTTGCCTTTCCAATTTTGTCAAGAAAACAAATACTTTGGACGCATGTTTAGTATATTATAATTATTATTCTGTGTCGTGTTTTAAATGTAAAATTATTCCAATGTATTTCAAAGACGAGCATCTTTTATCTGCAGCGAACAATGGTCTATTTTTGTGATAATGACTGCATGTTATTGAAAATATCTAAATTCAGTTTTTTTTTTAATATTATACTTAACAACTTTTTAAAAATTCTGTTAAACAATACTTTTACGAGTTCGTTTGTTTCAGTATCCAGTTATCAATTAGAAATTTAGGTACAATAAAAACAATAATTTAATAAGTATTAAATTAAACGATGAACAACAACAATGAATATAAATATATTCATCAATGTTTTTTTTTTTTAAACAATTGTTTACTGCACAAAGCGGGGTCTAGTCTACTCAATCTGTTCGTATAAACATAATTTTTCATGCGCCGCTTTTATAAATATTAAAACCATTAGATTTGTGTCTGCAGTAAAATATGTATTTACATACGCTTGGTAAAAAAAAAAACAAAATGAAAAATGTACTTTTTTCTTTACTGCAGTTGATGATTTATGTATAACAATAAATATATTATAGAGCCTATAAAATAAATAAACTTAAAGAATTTATAGTATAAATTATGAACATATCCAGTATCTAAAACTGAAGTATTTTCAAAAACAGACGAATTTACTTAATAATATAGTGTGTAGATTAACTCCTAAAATGTTAATTCAATTAATAAACAGTCTAAAATAATTGATTCAGATAATTATTTTGTAGGTGAATCATTCAATGAGATTTAAGATAAACGCCATGATTGGTAAACCATAAAAGCTAAAATAATAACATGATGACAAAATAAAAAAAAATAAATAAATAATGATGTTATTGTTTCCAGTTTTTACTCTATCTTTTACTGTTTATCACACGAAGTGCCCACCGACCAAAATGCCTTCCGAGTTTATTTATCTAGGTTGGCACTTTTAGGTGAAATTACGAATTAATAGAGCAAGCAAGCAATTTTATTGACTTGTGTATTATTCTATTTAAGATGCTGACAAGGCGAAAATGAGTTCTGCAAAGTCAGCTTTCCACAGTTGATATGTACATATAATTTACCGCTTGAATGTCATGAGGACTTGTAGAAATTATTTGTTTTTAGGTTGGGCTCTACATTTCCAACGCTCTACCAGTCATATCAATAAAAATATAGTTTCATTTATTTATGTGAAATAATTATTTACTAAATATATCAATTAATTATATTGTAATTATACAGTAAATTGTATTTTAATGTTTTTATATGTTTTAAAATAGCAGCCAAAAAAAGTATTTGTATTTATGTAAATACATTAAACTATTCCATTTAGATCGATTTTTAAGTTAGATTATTTTAATGAAATAATCTTTTATATAAGTTGTACTACTTAAATGTATGATTTTATAGACTATTATAATATACTAATACAAAGTATTTTAAAACGTTTCCTGCATTGTATTTAAACCCAAAATTAAATAACTAATTTATCTCTATCCTTTGATGTATAAACTATACTGCTTTTATATTATTACTATTTTGTTTTCACAACAAAATTAATAGGATTTTTTAACCGTTCTAGTTAGTGTAAATTATTGTGTATGTTTAACGTGTAGCGTTGTATACGAGTATATTCAATTGGGAAATAATATTTTTTAATGTTTTTGGAATAATAATTTGTTAAAAAGTTGGTAAAATTAAAAATAATTTATGGGTTGTGATCGTACTTTTATATTATTCGTGGAATCGATGCATAACGAACACTGTGCATAAGTAGGATGCTATAGATACATATCTTTTACACCGATTTACTATTGTTATAGTCAGGCACAAGACACAAACAAATACTAAGTTCGACGGATCGCATTGTATTGTCTCATCGCCACGAAAGTTATTTTCATCAAATCAAGAAAGTTAAAGGAAACTAAATGTATAACAGGTTTGTTAAAATATGGTTTTATTTCAAACTATAGTCATGTGACTAAGTTAATAAACCAAAGTATGTACTAGCATTTACATTAAAACGGTTATAGAAAATCTTTCAGATTTAGAATGTTACAGCTTCTAAATTAAGTTTTAAAACGTGTATTTAAAAGGTAGTATGTATGATAAAATCTCAAAGGAAAACTTGTTTACCTAGTAAATTAATAAATGCATTGCACGAAATGCGTTTTCGGTGAGCAATAATGTTTGTTAATTAATACATTATTATTATTATTAAGACATTAAAAGCATTCGCAATACTTTAAGATATTATAGCATACAACTTGTATGGCTTCAGTGCGAGCAAACTAGAAAGGTATCAGATTAAATGTTCCTTTTCAGGTCTCTTCGTAATTGTTCGGCCCGATTATATCCTTAATCCGATTTATTGACGTCGATGGGTGAAAATTCTTTATCTACATTGCAATAATTTTCTAATAAACTGTGATTTATATTATCAACAAGCGCCAATTCAAAGTGTCTGTGTTTTATATTTTTAATAATAGACCGTACAAAGTGACGGTTTACCAGAATTATATATATATACCTAATATATAATGTAGGCAAGTATCGAAATACTCTTACATTAATATATTATTATAATGTAATGTATTATAATGCTAAAAACGATATTTATTTTAATTCAATAGATAATCGTTGAGTGACTAAAACTTGTTTAGGCTCAATAATATAATTGATAATATATTTAAGTTTAAAACCAATGTATCGACTGTAAATATGAATTTTTTTAATAAAATTACAAAGGCTGTCGATATTAAAGTAAGTAGTTCGTGTAAGTATGCTTTATTGTCCTGTAAAAGAAGACATTTACTTTACATTAAGCAAATTAAAATGTTTTGTAAAAAATAGAGAACACTCACAGTTGAGACATTTTGCTAATGCCTTGTCTGAAAGATCATTAAGAAGACAGTTTGGCATACTATATTACCTACGTTTTGGACCCTAAACATAAGCCGTAATGCAGCGGACTGACCATTAATGTTCCTTAACACCCTACGCTTTGAGAGAAATCGTTATCATAATGAAACGACATAAATACTGAGAGAAAAAAAATGTAATATTGATATGTAACTATTATATTATAGTGTTAGAATAAAGTAAATTAAAAATGTTTTAATAACATAGGTTAGTCGTCTTGGCCATATTAATTCAAATAAAATTACAATCATCTACATATAAAAGTATTTGGATTTAGGTTACATTATTTAATATTATAAAGGTATTTAAAAAATATTAATTATATATATATATATATATATATATATATAATCTTACCTGCTGTAGTGAAGACGTTGGTCTATCAATAGTGTTGTATTCCGACAATATATTATTATTGGTAGTGCGGAAGTTTGGAGATTGATTTTTTGAAAAGACTCCATTGCATTGGAAGTGGTCTTGCGCATTTTTACTATGTTTAAACAAAAAATGATAAAAGGATGCTTCTTGGTAAATGAAAACAAATATATTACCTTGCATTTCCTAAATTGCTATTGTTATTTAAAACTAACATTCCTTGATCGTCGGTTTCGATGTCAGTGTTATTGCTTTTTGATTTTCTTTTAAGCGATGGTCGAGATATTTTCCACGAATATCGCCTTTGAAGCTTTTCTCCATTTTCCCCGCTATATGAAATTAAAATTTAAAAAAAAATGAACTTTTATTAATTTTGTAAGTAATTTTTGTACGATAATGAGTTATTATGAACGTGTAAACAATTAAATATAAAAACTCTAATTGAGTAAATTTATTTTTCCATAAGTCACAAAATTAAAATATCTTTGAAATAATGTAAACAAAATTACACTTTTGAAACAAACGTGTTGTCCTCCTTGTTTTTTATTTTTATTCAACTTTTCAGTAAATTTCACGTAATTGGAACAACTATATTAAAATCGTATTTCCTGTGATGAATGAAAATTGATAAAAACAGGAAAGCATTTTTGATGCGTTGTAAAGGAACAAATAACAATACGTGGTACAATTCGGTATACAGAAGTCGAATGGTGCGTGCATTATTTTATATAAAATACATTTTTATATAAAAGTTGAGTAAAAAAAACTAATAATATGAAAAATATTCGATTTATATAACAATGCATTTAATTTGCTTAGTAGGTACGTATGTCCTAATTTTTAAAAATATATAAACTAGACAAAATATATTACAATACTACCTAAATCACACACCTGTATAAATACAGTAAATATTGATTTTTAGTTTTTATAAAATTTGAAATTATTCTTTATATCTTGCGTTGTTTAGTATTTATTAAATAATCAACAGTATTTCTATTCATTACTACAAGTAGTGGTCTTTGTGGATCATATAAACTGAATCTTGAAGTTGAACCCTACTATCATTGTATATTGAATCGACCTAAACTAAAATTCTACTTAATATTATAATAAATATATTATGAATTGATCGACATTAATTCATAAACATTTTAATAACAGATAACAGTATAAAATATAATTATGTGTTATTTAGTACTTAAAATGCTTCAAGAGCTAAGAGTACCCGCGTAATATTTTAACTGTTTGGATTTTAAAGCGAATTTACCAATTCATGAATAATAATTTATTTATTTTTATAATTTAAGTACTGAAAAAGAGTAAGTACGATAAATAAAAAATATTTTTATTTTCTTATAAAGTAATACTTTAAGAGAACGGAATACAAAAAATAATTTGGAAAACCAGTTAAATTAAATGTAAAATATACTAAAAACGTTTTTAACTATAGGATTCTTATGATTTTTTTTTAATACAGAACTAATGAGGGGGACTACCCCTCATTAGTCATCGTTTATTTAAAATTCATATGACTGAAAGTAATAAAATTACTCTCAAAAAAACGCCTTGATACGATTCTATAACTAATATATATATAGCAATACAATTTGGGTTTGGCGCACCGTTTTAGAATTAGAAAATTGACTTTACCATAATGTGCTCTCTTTAAAGTTTTTCTTGCATTATAACCAGAAACGATGGCGGCAAAAACTCTTGGAGAGTTATGAAGGCCAGAAGAAGAAGAAGATAACCAGAAACGTATTTGGACATTGTGTAGCTCGGGGTATCTTTTTTACAGTCCATCTTGTCCTTAAAGTATCTATGATTTATACATTCGTCCTCTTATGATGAATTAAAAATGTTCTGTTCTTACCACCACGGGATATTTGTCCCCTTTCCCCCAAATAAGGCCCTGATAAAAACCTTATTATTCTAAATTAATTAAATGCTTACCCAGACACATCTTCGGGTATGGTTTCGAAACTTTGATTGCCGGTTAACTTAAGAGGACTTGACACGAGCGTGGTCTTGTTGTTGATTTTAGGGAACTTCGAAGCACTTTGTAAGCTGTTCATCGACGAGCGCTATATAAAATGAAAACAAATTAATATGTATCAGTACAATTTAAATAAGCGCACTAGATAATTTTAACAATTAAAACAATTTGACACATAAAATAAAACATAATTATGAAATTCGCCAACCAGTTTCAGGGAAAATGTCCAACTTCTTATTGATTATAACTATGTGCTAAGGGTTAAATGTTTTCGAAACTTGTTTTATAAAATCTTACTTCATTAATTTTCTATTAAAAACTTTCTAAAATAGCCCAGACTTTGTCAAAGGAGTATTATAATAAAAAAAAAACGACAACGTTTTTAGACAATTGTGTTAAGCGTTTGAACGTCAATCACATTATACCCTTTTAAGCTAATTGAAAGTTTTTACAAGACTGAACAAATTAAATATATATCGTTATAAAATCATTACATAGTACTTTATGCTGATGATATATTGATCGCTGTTAAACTTTTTGATCTTGATGGGACTTTTTTTCTTGTCGATTAATTTTGTGAATTACAATATTTTGTGATCAATGATGTGTTTCATCAGTCATCATAATATTGATGTCAATTATCCCAAGACGTTTTATACATATGCATCAAAGATATATTGTATTTTTTTTTTTTAATAGAAATCAAAATAATTAAATATAAATTATGTGTTCAAGTTTTATGTATATGTTTTCCCTAAACAACGGGTTTTAAACAATCTGCATGCTAATTATATCGTATGAAACTAACCGTAGAACAATCGATAGAGTCCATAGAAAACCCACTGCCGTTTGTGTCAAACGGCAAGAACGTATAAGGCGTTAGTGATTGATACCTCCTGAAATCTTTAGACTCGAATGTAGCATTTGGCGAATCTTGTGGTGTAGCCGCCGTGTGTGTAATAATTGGTGGTACAATAGTCATTGCGTTTTCTATGAGATACAAAATTAATAACAACACAATTAAATTTTGTTATACTAACAAATAATATTAAAAAATTTTAAAGATAAAATAGGTATGTACTACAAAGATTTTTATTTATTTTCATGTAAAGAAAGTAGTTTATTTTTCGCAATAATTTGTTTTTTTTTTTTTATTAAAGTAAATATTTAAATTAACGATACATCTAATAATGTAAATTCTCGTCTTACATTTTTACAGTTCCTATTTATAAATATGTTTTTTTTTCTAACTAGGCTTTTGTTGATCTTATGAATTATGTATGTGTTTGTGGTACACGGATTTTAATTTTCTATAGTTTTGGCAACTATACATGAAATATATTTTTATATGAAACTCGTAACAATAAGACTATATAATATGTGACTTCATTGTTTGAAATTGGGTAAATATGTACTTCGTCATACTATGGGTAAAATGAATCAAAAGCTATTGAAATATGTATGAGTTCATTCTGAATATCAACAAAAATGTGAAAGTTTTTCTTATTGCAAAAGCTACTATAAGCCGTTTGTTTTTTACTCATAAAACACTATTTGAGGTTTACTAGTGTTATCGAATGGCGAAGGAGAAATAATATAAAACATTACCATGGTTACTCCGATATGATAAACAAAAAATCAATATTTTATTATGATCTCACAGTAAGATATATTATTAAATAAAATGTAACGACATATCTCTTAAAACTAGTATTTTTAATTGATTGTATTCCATAATAGTGACTTTTACTCGATGTTCATTATAATATGTGATGGCAGAAAATTGATTAATACTTAAAATTGAAACCATATTTTTAATTGATATCGGTCTCAGCAAGCCGTGAAAATAATATACAAGATAATAATTACTGAGCTCCTTCTTTCCGCCGAACTTTACCGTATTTACGAGAAATTGAAACCGCCTGAAACTCGGCAAGACGATTATTTTTTTGCTTTTTCTGACCCCGTTTCCAATAAATTAACCTTATTTGATCCCCCGAGTTTTGAGATAATACCCGGCGTCACGAAATATTTAAGAAAAACAGTATGTTATTATTTTATTTAGAAATTAATTTCGGTACCTTGATTCTTGTGCAGGTTGCATTTATTTAGTAGTACTTCTCTGTTTTGATTTTCGATCTTAAGCTCGGTAAACGGTTTGGCGTTATAATTTTTTTGTTCAATACAAACTTCGCATTCGCCTTTTTCTTCATAACACGAACAAGTACATTTGCACCATGACGATTGCTGTTGCCTTTCCATTTCTCTCCGTTCTCTCTCGCGACGTTCATTGCGCTAAAACGACAAAAACGCTTTTTCAAACAACGCACTACACAGTCGTTGCCAGATAACTTGGCACAGCTGCGACGGCGCGAAAACGCAAAGCCAGGGGTTCTCTGTGGTTAATGTTGTTTTTTTTTTGTCTATTATGCCTTGTCGAAGCATAGTTGATAGTTTATTTTTTATAAAATTTATAATAAAAGTAATAATAGTAAAAACAACGACAATAATATGAACCGTCGCGTCCGAACTATGCTCGTCCTAGCCGACGAACGGTCGAGGAAAAAGACTAGTTTGGGATACAATTGCTGATAAACGCCGCCGCCATACCGACTTATCTGGCAACAACTGTACCCACCTGTATATTAATAATGGTAGTTGCATAAAATTCTTGATCTAAATTAATGTAATTGTTAATGCGTTAGTTAGTCAAAAGAAAATTACGATTTATTCGATTTCTCTAACTAGGGTCACACTTTCCTCGGATGAAGAATATTAAGGTCACGAGCTTGAGTAATTTATTTTGAAATGTCATCAAAATATTTATTTTTTTATCATTTTTAATCGTTTCAAACGTAATCAATATTTACCAGCAGATACATTTTTTTGTTAATTACATTTACATTACCCGAGTACTGAGTAACGTTTAATAATGTTTTGTGTCCAGGAATAAAACATCAATTTTTTTCTACAGAAAGAACCCCAAATAACCTAACCTAACGAGTTTTTATTTTTTCTGTTTTTTTCTATATTACTGTTGGTTCTACGAGAAGGGAGTCAGATCGTAAAAATACACCTCTTGTAAATTGTACAATAATTATTACAGAGAAGGGAAAGGTGTTGTGAGTAATGAGGCTCGTGGTAAAACATATTATTGCACCTACTGAGGCAATTTTGCAAGTTGCATTGGGCCATATATTTTCCCAAGTGGACATTTTTTTATGAAATTTGGTGGCAGCACTGTTTGAGTAGTTCTACCAAAGTACTGATAGTGAAATTGATCTTGGTGGAAAAACGTATCAAACATAGTTAACAAACATGGCTACCATTACAGTTACGTCGTCCAAAATTGAAATTCGCGTAGTGATCAGACTTTTATGGTTAAAAGTTGCAAACAAGTACAAATTCACAGGGAGGTGTGTGAAGTATATGGTGAAAAGGTTAGATAAGATTGTGACTGGTGATGAGACGTGGGTTCAGCGTTTTCAACCAAAATCAAAGAGAAGTTTGATTGAGTGGAGAACCACAACTTCCCCGCGCAAAAAAAAAGCCTAAGTCTAGTTACATCTGCTGGAAAAGTGATGCTGACGCTGTTTTCTGATAACAAGACGTTGTTTATTCAGAGTTTATGCCAAAAGGAAGAACGGTCAACTCGGCTAACTACTGTGAAACCCTCAAGAAACTGATAAAGGACCGACGACCAGAGAAACTGTTAAAAAGAATTGTGTTTCTCCATGACAACGCAATTCCACATTCAGCAAACGTTACGAAGGAACTTCTCCAAAAATTCAAGTGGAAAGTTTGGGAACACCCATTCTACAGTCCTGATTTACCACCGTGTGATTTTCATGTGTTTGAGCCCATGAAAAATAAGCTAGCTAAAAAGCGATACCACTCAGATGAAAAAGTAAAAGATGCCACTAGCGACTGGAGTTCACAAACTGGACGGCAGTTTTTCGAACAAGGCATTTACAAACTCGTTCAGAGATATGAAAAATGTAGAAATTTGTTTGGTGAATGGTGATTATGTCGAAAAATAGTATAAATTGAGTACTTTCCGATAAAATGATTTGTTTTTAAAATATTACTTTTTGAATAATGACCCAATGCAACTTACTTTTTGATGGCCCTACGCAATAGGAACACAATCTCAGGACTTTTTTTTTAAAAATCATGAAAATGTTATATGTCTTATAAACTAGCGAAATCACAGACATAATTTTTTACTACTCAATTTCCCGTGTGCCTTAACTTTTTATTTTAATGTTAACTTATTATCTTTCTTATTAAATAACTGTTCAGCGATTTTAAGTTAACAGATTGTGCAGCATTATTGAAATCCTAAATTATATTTTTTTTATTTGAAATGGGCCATATTATATGTTTTTGATGACTTTTATTACCTCTGAAGAAAATCCTTCGACCAAGATTGCTACAAGTAAATTGAACAACACATAATTGCCAAAAGTCATCAGCGTCACAAAATAAAGTGCGGCCCAATGGCTCGTTTTCTCCATTCCATTAAATAGCACTATATTCCAATCTTCTTGTGTAAGTATCTGTATAAAGTTTAAAAAAAAAAAACCAATATAATTCAATTTAATGAATGAATATACATTTTATTCTTTGCTATCATGCAACGTTTTAATTAAGAATATATAAATTAGTTTCATTTCCCCCGAAAAAACTTTAACGGACATTATGTGTATCGAAAAAAGTTTATGGTTGAATGACTTAAAATTTGTGTTTTAGAAAAATTGTAGTTCTAGGACATAGTAAAAAGCGGTTTTAGAAAGCATAAAGTGAAAAAGGACTATATTATAAAAGCAAATGACCATCTGTCGTATTAAAATGGCCTTTTTTGTTTGGATTAATCTATTATTCATAAACATAGTAGACAACTTAAAGTACATTTGCTAATGGTCTAGCTAATTATATTTTTTTAACTATAATGTAATAATGGCACAAACGCATTTTACTATTGAACAATATTTTTATACAAAAATAATTATTTATTTTATTTTTATTACTTATTAACAATAACAATACTAATTGATGTTAATAGCAATATATATTAAATTAGAACTTGTACTTTTTATGAAACTCGCCTTTTAATGATTATATTTTATTTTTTGTGTCACTAGTGCAATACCATATATACTTTAATATATTATTAATAAGCTGTATATATTTTTGCTATGTTCTATACTTTACTTTTTAGTAAATATTTTACACTTTTACAATTTGGGCTTTTAGCCCATATAAATATTAAATAACTTTTAACTATTTATTTAACTGATTATATTATCACTGCATTAAAATATTATACTGTTATGGCTGTGTATGTTTTATAATAGTGTGTTATGTATTACCCATGATCACTTATCTGATCATGCTATTAACTACTGGGCCAAATTCATCATACAGCAAGTTTAAACATCAGCAACTTTAGTAGAATCGTACACCAAAGATACTTTATTAGGACAATAGTTGAAAAACTACCCATATTTCCCTTAAAAATTGAGAAACACATAAAAAATATATATTTTACAACTAAAACATGCTGCATGCCATAACTTTCCAGATCATCTTAAGACCTCTCCAAAAGGGTTAGAGACATTTTCTTTAGTTTTAGTTTTTTTGAATTGTAAGTCTTAAATTCGGCTGTTGGTGTACTTCCGTTTATTGATAAGGGAGGACAAACTTAATAAAGATTTATGACATGGCCGACTAAATGCTTCATTCTCGCTATGCGCTGAAGTCACAGAACAATGTTCAGTTTTTTTAGTATTATTCAACACAGTGAACAACGAGTTAGGGTACGTTGAGAATAAGCGTATAGCCCAACCGTCAATTTTTTATTTAGAGATAAATTGTATAAAAATAATTAATTTTTAGTTTCTGTAGTAATGTATTTTTCAAGTATTTCTTTGTTCTAGAAAACACTTGCATTTTATAACGAGGTTTCAGCTGATAGGTTCGAGAGATTGTGTTAATCGGTCAGAAAAATGTTTGTATTAAATAGTATTTTTTAAAAATCGAGTCAACGTATATAAAATGGTATTAGTATGATAATTAGTATTATTATTTATTATAATTAAAAAACTGCGATACAATGTAGACATTTCATTTCGATGGAAATTTCTACTTAATTAAATTGAAATTCTATTATTAAAAGCTATTTTAAATAATTACCTATTATACACAAAAAAAGGAAACTTTAATACAAGACTATAATTGTTTTATTTTATTTTACTATTGATTTTTGTAAATTGCGTTTGTCCATTATTATCTAAGTACTCAGTAACCTACTTGAAAGACGGTGACAGTAGCCCAAAGTACATTATTAAAATGTTTTCGATCGCAGACGCACAGGGGATGTTTAGTGACAATTTCTTTGCAGTTGCATTCACGGGCTCCGTTCCCGTACATGCAAAACTTACCACCGAAAAGATACATTCCGAGAATGCTGCAAAGAATGTTTTTTTTTTTGTGATAATAGAAACAAATATAACTGTTATATGTACTGACAAACATTTATTTATAAAAAAATTCCCCTGTTAAAATAACAAATTAAAAAAAAATAAAAATCATAAATTATATCAATCTCATGGCTGAGTATCAAGACTATACTCGTTGAAATTTAGATACATCAACATTTTTTAATAACCAAAACACGTCACGTGTACGTTAAATTTCGTATACGTTATTTACTTACATTTTATGAAGGCGCCGTCCCCGTCTATTATGTATATTATCGTATACGGTATATACATAACTAAAGATGCCTAAAATTACGTGTTAGAGGATTCATATTGTTAACGGTATATTCCTAAGGACCGAACTGGTCGGACACGACTAATGACGGCACAATGTTTTTGTTTAACCATGCAAGACTATAGTGGTAGCATGAGGACAAGTTTAGAGTGACAGAGGCGAGTTAAAATATAATCGTATGTTTAAAATACGTGGCGTACTGTTAAACATAATTATCTATTAAGTAGGTACATAATAATTCGGATGAAGTGACTGGGTCTACAGAGTCGAGTATGCCCTACGGTAAATACTATAAAAGGTTGACTACATGTCTATGTCGGTATATGAACTGTGACAGGTGTGTCACAGTGTTTGTAATGTTGCTATATTTTACACTAAAGGCAGAGTATAGGTATGCGATATATTATGATTATTTTCCATTACGCCTGTTGAAACCCTGAAAAATATGCTCTGTGTGCACAGACAATTTTTTTACATCAAACGCGTTTGATTATAATAACATTATGTGTTAAATTTATGCGTGTAAGCTTAGTATTAAAATATTGAAATTATTTTTGCCAGTGCGGAGACAGAAAAAGTTACAAAGTAATGCGTGTGTTATTACAATTAAAATATAGTTTACACTATAAGGTATTGTAATCATCAAAGCGAATCGTCTTGGTTCCAACAGGCTCTTGTGTAATCGTGATGCTAGCATGTTTTCGTTAGCAATAAACATCCACTTGTGTGCGTACTACCAACAACATAAACCAATATTAACTTCAACGGCGCTTTAACAACTAGTAGGAAAGTTAGTTTTCAATACTGGTTTGACGATTTTCGATGCACATTAGTTTTAAATTTAATATTTAATTGTACCCACTTATTTGTGCGTCTCAATGAAAATATAATTATAAAAAATATATTGTATACTAAAAAGAAATATCATAAATCAGTATATAATTCTTGAAAATACACGAAAAAGGAAATACGCAGTAAAATATTTTTGGTTGTGTTAAATGTTAGAGCTTATTTAAATTGTATGTGCAAAACCAAGCGTTAAATAGTAATACAGAAAGACCAGTATATTTATGTTAGTCAGAGTAGAAAATAAGTATGGGTCATTCCATGCCAAATCACCTGATGTGTGTGCGAGTGGTTTTTTGAAATGCCTCAAATTTACATACCCTATGCAGATAGTTCCATAAAATCAGAAAAGTAAAGAAAAAAAATGTTTTTATGTATGTAGAACATTTGGTAAAAGTTTTATAATGGAGACTTTATTTTACTACGACTTTAAATTTCTCAAATTTTGTGTCCGAAGACTACAATGAGAAATTCAAAATCTTACAGCTCCTAGTAAAAAAAAGTTTCCATTACAAAAATTTTGCCAAATGTTCTACATACATATAAGTTAGTGCTTAAAAAATTTCAGTATTTTTTGTTCATGTCATAACAAGTTATAGGCTTTAAGTATAGCACTTTTTAATAAAATACCAAACTTTGAAGTTTTTTGTACTTCACAAAAAAAAAATTGTTAAAAAAAAGTTTTGAATCAAACAAGTGTAGTATGACGTATGAGAATAAAAAAAAAAAAGTTATAAAATTTCGACCTTAAGTCAGTAAAAATATTGAATGAAATTTTTAAAATTTTGAATTTGTGTTTCAGTTTTTAAGTACTTAAGTTTTTAAATATTTGAAAAAAATTTGTTCAAGTATATTATGAAAAAGAACACTTAAATTAAAATTGTTCATTGAAAGTTCCATTACGATATCATAATTAGTCATTAAGTGACGTGATCGTGAACTTATGGTGTTTTCACAATCAATTTTCGGAATATAGCATCGCCTAAGTCCAAAAAAATTATTAAAAAATGTTTTACTTCACTTTTCTGATTTTATGGAACTATCTGCATAGGATATGTAAATTTGAAGCATTTCAAAAATCCACTCGCACACACAACAGGTGATTTGGCATGGAATGACCCTAGGCGTATTAAGAAAAAATGCCCAAGAGAATTCATTTTGCTGCGAGGCGTTGGCATATTAAAATATAAATTAAAAACTCGTTCTTGCATAGAGAGTTGAATTTTTTTTAATTTTATTAAGTGACTCGGATTTCAGAGAGTTGATACACGTATTTAGAGTTGATACGGTATATATTAAACTATGGGTATGTTGTAATTGATTGAGGTGTCCTACTGGGATTTCATAAAGAGCAATAACCATTAAACCAAATTATAGCATGACTTTGGGATGCCCTAGGGACTATATAGATATGCTTTACGATCAAGAAGTTTTCACATTATTTTATAACGAACGTCTATATGATTTTTTTTAGAGACGCGAATTGCTGATTATGTAAAATTATACTTTCAGAAAATTTAGTAATGGAATTATAGCATACGATGAAAATTTTGGTGTACATTTTAATTTTATTTGTTTTTCAAAAAAAAAAATATATATATATATATGTAGATAAAAGTATTTTTAGTTACTTATAAATAAAAACTTGTTCATTACCGTGATTTAGTACTTACACTGTACTTTACTTAAGTGCACGGATATTAAGTCAGAATAGTAGTATTATAAATTAAAAATAAAAATTGTTTTTCATTAATAGTATAATAATATAAAATTATAAAGTAATTGGTGAATTATTTCTAAGATTTTATTAATTTCTAGGCAGGCACGTATATTTCAAACGTATTTTATTCTTTACTTAGTTACATTCATACACGAGGAATAATAAAATCGTATTCTTTTATTTTAAAGGCTCTTAATAAACGAAAAAATAACTTAATGATTTCACTCTCTTTATGCACGAACGAGTTGATGGTGTAATAATTAGAATTTTGACGAGATGCAATTTCATCAGAAAGACAGAGAAAATCGTATACAAATAGGTTGAGGTTGTCCGATAAAATGTACCTGAAACACAGTGACTAATGCCCATAACAACGAGTCAAAATTTTTTCTGTCGCACGCTACATCATCAGGGGTTCCATCGTCCTTTCGGCTACAGAATTTACATCCGAATAAGTTCATGCCAAGAATACTACAAAAATATGAATCGTTAATTTTATTTGTAAATTATATATTATTGTTTGGCATATTTATAATATGTATAAATATATTTTTATTTATACAATTAATTAGTAATAAAATTACATACAAGATCGAATTATTAGTAATTAGTGTATTCAGTCTATTGTATAAATTCTTGTTTTTATCCGTTTGAATGTAATTTCATTTTTATAAGCTTAAAAAGTAACTATAATTTGTTGATGTTTTCGTTTTATGGTTTTACAGTATATTTTTTATAGTATCTAGTTATAATACGAATTATACCCACGAGTATTAATTTTCTTTATAGCTGATTTAAATTATAATTATAGAAAAGAAGATTTTATTACTTCATATGGCAGCTAATTAATAAATCCCATGAAAAAATGTTTGGATTTAAAGCAATAAAATAATATAATTCAACGTATAAACGTTCGCCTATTGCTAATGGCACTGAAGTCAAGTCACCTTCATAAATCATTATTTTTAAAAATGTGATCTCTAAGATCACGCGTTCGCCTCTAGACTTTAATATTTCACTTTAGTTTGCTATTATATTATAAACTATACTATAAATGAGATCTTTAAATTTTGGAATGACTCCACTATATTTAGAGGCGTTATTTAAATTTGTCTAATAGGAAGGCAAACATTTAGAGCAGTTCAATTTTCATTTTACTCAGGTATTTATTTAAGCGTACCTCGTACGTTGTGGTCTTAACTGTGAACAAGATGACGAGACTTAATTATGAAAAATAACTATTAATATTTCATTATCGAAAACTTCAACGTATCTGTCCATTTATAATATTGGCCGTGGGAAAATGACACGCGCTAACAGAACAAAATATGGAAGCGAAAATATAGTTGGAATCGTTCGAATGTCGCCCCAGATTATATTACTATTTTAACTTTAGCGTCACTATAATATGATAAACTATTAAAAATATTAATACATGTATACTGTATTCAATATGTACTATACATATAAGTTAATTAACTAGAATAAATAACACGCACAGTTTTGTATTATAAAATATTATGATATATTATTCTTCAATATTCAGTTGTGCGGTGTGACGTCGCAGGTTGCCAGTATGAGCTGATACGAAAGTTGTTCGAATTAAAGCACAAACAATAGACATTGCGTAATGGGCCTTAGGTACGTTTAACATGTACACTGATAAAATACAAAACACGACACAAACGTAACAAGATGTATAGTTGTGATGGGTAAGACCTAAAATATTACAATAATACACAGTTCATGGTGATCACGTTGCATGGCGTGTGCACGAGTAAAATATATAGGGATAGTCGTGAGTTTTCGAAAATATAGTCTAGCATCGCTCTTTTTATGGTTATAATATGTACTATGTGCAATAATAATATGCCTTTATTCTGAGGTTTTCGAGCCAACGTTTTTGAAGTCTGACGGGCAACGAATACTGCTGCGGTGTATTATTGCTATTATGATTATGTTATTGATTATGGGCACACGGACTGAGAGAGGCGTTTTCCGAAAATTGGATTAACCGAGTACCGCCACATTCAAGTGTCGCGGTTTATATTGTTTTTAGAGGCGGTTGCGGCGGTGACGACGACAATGACGGTGGTCTCATGATAAAACTACCCTCGGCGAACAAAATAATTTAACGTCGTTAAAATAGCTAACACGGTTAATGCCGAACCACCGTCGCCGTTGGGTCGTTTCGGCGTTGTGCTTTTGTACACATGCAAGTGACATGACCGTTTCGTGTTGCTGCCTGCCGTTCTCGATGTTCTCGGGGGGAAAAAAAATATATATATAATAATAATAACCACGTGTGTGTGAGACTAGACTCAACGATTTGTTACCGTGAGCGTTTTTTTTTCTGCTAAATTGCCACGCGGCGGGGCCGAGGATTGCGTTCGAAACAAATATATGCCGGCGCGGGACAAAATACAAAATATGAGGGTGACAAATTGAATTTGGAGAGACGCCTTTTCGCCGCTCACTCTTCGTCGTTTTCCCTCGCGTTATCTGCCGGAGGTGAAAATAACAAACAAATAAAACAATAATAAACGCCCGAGCACCGGATGATGGTTATATGTTTTATATCGACCTCTGTCACTGCGTGAGTTCACGTTTAATATACCGACACTGCCGTGTAATCAAATTGCGGTAATGTGTGTTTTGACTGGTACAGTATATCTGTAGGAATTATAGCGGTCGACCCCTAAAATATCAACCCCGTCCATACTGTGTGTTTACTTTCCCGACGAATAGCTTAACGAATGTGTCGTCTGGCGGCGCCTTCTCGAAAATCCTACAGTTATTAAAATTCGCTACGGAATTACATGTATATTTTTTGCTAAGAGATGAAACCTCGAAAATATGCATTATTACAAACATGTCTAGCCAAACTGAAAAGTCTTGTAAGCAGCGGTTAGTAAAAAAGTTGATAATATTTATCTGATATGATTCTGGATGAAAAAATTAGTTGAAAATAGAATAAAAAAGATTTATAAATAATTAATTATTAGTATTTTTTAGCAACACGGACGTTTCGGAATTTTTTTTTCTATTTCAATAACGGTGTTTTTTACACATTTATTAAAACTAAGCATTTTTATGGCTTAAAAAAGTGTAAAATATTTCATATGTAATTCGGATTTTTGAGATCTCATTCTTGATACTCGTATTCTAAAAGGTGTATCTCGGTGATTTGAAAATAATGCATTCATTTTTTTCAGATCATCCTGATAAATACCTTGGTGTTTTATAAAACCGAATGTTTCTGGTTAATATTATTATATTAAATAAACTGAATAGCTGTAAAATGTTCAAAAAGACAAAAGGTATTCAAATCATTTCTAAAATAATTATTCTTACCTGAATATAAATATAAATAAAATGAGAAGTGAAAAGAACACGGCCACGTTGTCCATGGTTCGAAGCATGACAAACAGTTGCCGCCGTAAATTCGGCATGAAACGTACCAGTTTCAAAATTCGCAACAACCTGAAAGTTCTTAAAACACTCAAACCGGAATTGCCTTCCCTTTGACCGCTGGTGTTTTCAAACGATTGAGTCAATTCCACGATACTGTAAAAATAATACATTTGATGAGGTTATATTATTAAAAAACGGATACTACGTTTTGTGTGCAACCTGTCCAACAAACAAACATGTCAATCATGTTTTAAAAATATTTTTTAGTGATTGTAATCAGCAAACATTTAATTGTGTACCTAAATATTTAGGAACTTGAAAATTTAAAGGTCATCGGGTTATTAGTTAATATTTTCAATTTAAACGTTATTCACTGTTTAATTTATACACTAGTAATATATATTTAAACATATCGTATATAGTATATTCGATGGGGAATTAATGTTAAACATAACAATAGTCGAGTGTATTATCTGAAATATTAACGGAAAGTGCGAGTATAAAAACTTAGTGGTCAGAACTGATTATTTCTACCGTACAGAAAATACTTAAAGATTTGAAAAAACGTTAACCGAGTCTTATTGGTAAACTGTTAATTTTGAAATGTTTTATATGTACGCGAATTATAAAAAAACACCTCGACCTTTATTGTAGAAAAATACGACATAACTAAATTATGCTTTAAAAACTAAATTCTTATTTTTTACACGAATAAAACATTCTAATTTCGATGTAGAATCGTTGAGTTTATACAATATTGATTTTAAACCAAATGGGAGTGCTTCTTATTAGTTCAAGTATTTATACTCGGTTCATACCTGTAAACAACTTATAATTTTTACCGCCCCACTGGGCTTGTTTATCGTCTTTCAGAATATTTTCAATGAAATATTTTAATTCAAACTACTATGTTATATGGCATTCATGTTACGAATAATCCTGTGTAATTTCATAAATCATATCCCAAAATCAAACATTATTTTTACAACTACGTTTTATACTTAACTTTATAATTAGGTATAGTCGTTTAAAATAAGAAATTCAACGTTCAGTTTTACTTAAATGAAAAATAAAGTAACTAAGATTCTATGTTATCTGATATTCTTTTATGAAGGAATAATTGTACTATTGATCGTCTTGATTCTCAGTACTGCGTTTTTTTTTTTATAAGCTTTATCAATAAAACGTTTTACGGGTAAAAATTTACAAAATTCTTCTCCTTTCTACATACAATTAGGAAAATCACCAGTTTTTTTTTTTTGCCACTTGTATTTCTTATATTATATATTTTATATTTCGCATAAAATTAATTTTATTATCATTATTAAATTTGTATAAAATAATGCTTTACCATCATCTATTCAATTAGCGTGGCTGCATTTGTATTTTAAAGACAATTATTTTAAGATTACATACAACTGAAATATAATTTATGAATCACTTAGAGAATTCCGGGTGTTCGTGTATAAAATATGAGAAGGAAATGAGCGGGTGGGATTGAGAGAATGCGCAATAGCGTTTGGAAGGTCACCTGACTAAAACAACACGGTGTACGAACTGAAGTTTACCGAAATCTGTTATATTTACTTAAAAGAACTAAATAAAAATGTAAAGGAAATAGAGGGACGAACACTCACTAACAGGCACACTATAAATACAAATACACACACATACACATATATACATAAACAATAATTTATAGGCACTGGCACCCTTGTGTGTAAAGTAATGGGTGGTGAGCTGACCTTTGTCGATACACAAGGCACAGTACCGTCGCACCTGTTACTGAATTATGTATAGAAACCGCAAGATGTCTGACTGACAATCGCTGCAACGACATCTGGTAAGGTCATATGTGCGTTTCATGGATATATGACGTATGAAAAAAATGTTTTTTTTTTATTACTGCAGAATTGTAGTAGTATATGTGGGTGGTAGGACCGGCATGGTTGGTAGAGTGTGAAAAAGATAAACAATAAAAACATTCGGTTGGAACTTAACCAAATCTAATGCTACTATCGAATCGAAGGCTCTGGTTCTGCGGATATATTTTAATGAAAAAAAATCAAAAATTAAGACCATAAAGAATTTAATCGAATTCATACATAATGTTTATATTGTTATACTTTTATCAAACCATGAATTTTATTAGTTTTAATATTATGTGATATAAATTTTTTTGTGACTATATTTAACATAAATGGTATATGTCGGTTAAAACAGTGTATGTTTTTTCATCGTAATCATGTATTAAATCTAGAAACAGTTTTATTTAAAATAATTAATCTATATTTTATTGTTGTTGAACGGGATCACATTGTATTCTTATTGTAAAAAATATCAAAATGCTGTAAACTGTTACCTCAATATGACAATAATACCGTCGAAGACATTGAAACCATTACTGATATAACCGCATGGGCCTTCTGCGATTACTTTCAGTAACATTTCAGCAGCAAATATAGCAGAAAATACAATATTGCTATATTCTACAATGACAGTGAGCTCCTGTGGCTGTAAACACGAATTAAATAATATTAACATTTTTTTGGCCAATAAGACGGCGACATGTATAGGCCATTTCGGTACATAACTGTTCGGGGCATTTTACGTACGTTATCTGACATCGCATTATAAAAAATGTATGATGAAAAATGTCCAATACACCTTTTTAAATGTATGGATATCGAGTACTAGTTTTATTTTTACTTACACTGTTTATTGTGCCAACAAATAAATATGAAGTGATGAAGTTGTATATCAAATAAAAATGGGACACAAGTATCGGTTGAGTACTAACACTTGAGAAGAACTAAGGACTTCAAATCCATTGTTTCATCCAAGGTGAATCAGATAAAATTACTGTATGGTCTTCTTTAAGAGCTCTTAGCCGTCACAAAGAGATCAAATAAGATACATTTTTGAAACATTTTTTTTTATCCTATAATTATTTTCAAGGAAGCACGAAAATCGACAGTAAAACTAATTTTGTAGCTTTTAAAGTTTATATTGTAATTTTACTACTATTTTTTTTATTTTGAGAATTTCTACATCTACAGAAATTGTATGACATGGCTTTAAAATTATTCATTATCACAGATATATATGAATTAACCTCAAACTCGTTAACTTTAATGTAAGTCATGGAAAATATGTCGGTTTATTTATAACTTATATCTCTATGTTCAAAAATCGGTTATTTCATTTATTTCAGAAAGTTCATTCAGTATTTCTGGTGTTATACGTGATCTCAATAGGACGTCATTTCCCCAGTTAGGTAAAGGCATTTTTTCTTTACAAAATCTTAATTTAAAGATTAAACTATGATGAATAATTATTAGCTCAGTAATTAAGACTTTTTTTTTTATACTTAATTTTTTTTTCGGACTATCACATCATCCTTGACAACGATTTAAAACATTTTTCCAACTACATAGCTACGCACATTCTCTATCATCGACTAAATAATAATCGTAGATAGTTTTTTTTACCTATTTAAAATAATGAGACCTACCTAGGATTAGGATTATTTACCTAGGTTATATCGACGATTTGTTTTTATGTTAACTCAACATTCACAATTTAGAAAAACGAAAAAAGTACAATAAAAACTATTAATAAATCTATAATTAGAAAATGAATTGTAAAAAATATTTGTATTAAAAAATTATTTTCAGTAAATAATTTGCTTTTTGGCCTCAAACTAAAAGATTTAAATGCACGCATTTATTATTAAACAATTTTTGAAGGGGTGCGCGCATTTCGTAGTTACTCTTGGTTTATACGTTAATGCACCAACGACAACCGCAAAAATGTGCAGATATCAAAGTGTTTTTTTTATAATTTCGTTATGTTTATTAATCAAAAAAAGTGTTTAATCTGTGACACATTTGTACTTAATAAAAAATACTAAAATGTATCAAAATAAGTTAATATAAATAACAACAACGTAGAGCGTTGATAGTTGTATTTAAAATGATAAACATCCAATTGTTTAATTAAATAGTTCAACATTTAAGATGATAACATTAATTAAGAAGTATTTTAAAAACCATATATTCGTAGATGTAAAAATCTATCTACATTGACCGCCTTTTATTACATTAAATTGTTTTCATAGTTTATTATTAGGTTCAAATGTGATATTCTATACATATTTTTAAGCAGTTACCTGATTATGGTATTCTATACCCATGCTGAGCGTGTTGATGAGTATTGCGAGCAAAATGCACTGTTGAAATCGTCTGTGGTTGACAAGGAGCTTTATACACTCTCTCAACAGGGAACAGCCCACCAGACAATAAATCTGTAGGCAACCCACTGCGTCGGTGAGACAAGCTTTGTTTTTACTTTCCAAATGGTCATCTTCTACCATTAACTCTCCTTCCGATTGCCTGTCCAGCTGGAGAACAAGGATAAATAACGTTATGATGTTGTAAATAAAAATAATTTTAATAAATAGTTACTGCGAAAACACTTACAAGTGAGGGATGCCTTGTCCGGTTGTTGCGATTCACGTTTTGCATGATAGTCGCCACAGGGACGCCACCGGTTTTGCTTAGTGTCTTTAGCAAGGATGTTAGTGCGGATTGGCCTGTGGGAAGAGCCGCCGACAGGGCGCCGCTCAACGCCAAAAGTTCCTGACACGTCATGTCCTGATCGACTGGTACAGTTGTAGTATTATTGGTCTAAACAATTACAAAATATCTGTAGTATACAATAAGTTTTATGACGAATAGCGTAACCAGCAATAAAAAAGCATGGTTTATTTTTAAAGCGGTCATCATTTACATTTTTTTTTTTAAACAACTTTATTAAATACCAAATATAGAGAAAGTCAAATAGCAAACAAGGCGCTTTAGGTCTTACAGTAGAAAATAGTCGGAAGATATAGTAATTCCAAAATAATTGAAGGCATAACAATTACATTTTTTTTATCATAAAATAACATAAAAAATATTATATTATAAGAATACGTTGTATCCAATGCCAGTTTTGTTAAATATAAATAATTTGAATTTAAAATAATATGTATACGTTTATAGGAAAGTGTATTCAAACTGTTTATATAATTATGTTTAAGAATTTTATTAAGTAATTTTTTTTGTAATTGGAGTTGATTATCAAAATGGCAATAAAATTTTGTTTTTCACGTCACCTATTGTAAAATAATATATACATTTAGTAAAAAACACATTTTATTACATTATAAAAAATGGTTATTTCGTGAGCAATACTCTTCGACATTTGAATGAGTAAAACAAAATAATCATATACAAACTCGAATAATATGATCATTTACGATAAACGATTATTGAAAATGTACCAATTGCCTAGAAAAATGTCGTATTCCTTCAGTTGTCTAACTCTAACCCAGTCATAAGCCTACAAACATCTTGCGTGACTATGGTTTTAGTATTAAAATTGGTATACATAGCAAGTATTGACTCTAATTTATGAATAATAAAGAAATAATCGTGCATGTAACAAACATTTTATTAAAATATATACGTTGTTTAATAAATAACGTTAAAATAAATTTCCTTTTCAGTTGTTTTGTATAAACATGCTGTTTTATCATTTTACAGTCCCATTATTGGCATTTATTATTTTTTGAAATAATCAAATAGGTAACAAAATCGTATTCTGTAAACAGAAAAAATCCAAAAAAATATTTATATTGCGTGGAGTTAAACAAGCGTATTTGAAATTGATGACAACTTGGAGCGTAAAACAAAACTTTAAATTTTATGATAGAGAGCTGTTGTCGTTTTACTCGTGTTGTTGTCGTTGTTATTGTTTTTTCATAATAAATTTGTCTTTAATAATAAACCAAATAACGATTGTGCACACAGATTGTGCGTCCATGTCATTTATTTACCACAGCAACCGCTGTTGTGTTGTTCCACACATTGCCGTCGCCCGTCTGTGTCATTTTCTCACTCGAACAAATGTTATGGGCTCCGGCAGCGGTTACGACAGGGTTACTCCTAGTAATTAACTCGTCGCTGAAAGCCACTACAACGCTTCGTCTCCTTGACACGATTCCGCCGTTGCTGGACGTCGAACCGGGACTCAAAAGGTTTCCACTCTGTAGTAGGGAGGTGGAACACAAAATGCAATGAAAAAAAAAAATATATATATATATATGTAAAAAACAAAGTACAAGCATTTGTATGTATATATGACTTGACGTTTTATTGGGTCAAGTGTACGCCGCGCTAGCCTACCACGCACGTTTGTTTCAAAACCACACAAAATACACACCCTCGGCCATAAAATAATACTACACAGTAAATACAATCGGGACGGGAGAATATTTTTTGACTGACGCTTTGATTTGGCGTATAATATAATACAATATTTTGTATGATTTTAATAATGGAGAATGATTTATGTTAACGCAAAGTTATAATAATGGTAATAATATAGTACTTTCAAACAATTATTATATTATACGGACAAAGATAATATTTTTGTTTGGTATATAAAAAAAAAAAAATAACACTCGGATAGAATTCATTAATTTACGCATACATAGATTCAGGCATAACGCATTTAAAACCTTTCGAAATACTTCTGCAACGATTAAATATATCTTCAAACATTTTAATTAATATTATATAAATTAAAACTTACCGAATCGATTTGAGTGTTTTCCACAAAACGAAGCATTGGTTGTAACGATTCTACTTCGTCGTTGTTGCCACAAGTACCTTGTTTATTTTCATTTGCTTCTAAAAAATTAACTGTTTTTATGTTATGATTAATAACGTTAAATAGCGTACGTTATAATAAATGGTTTGCTAACACTAATTCTGTTATGGAGCAATAATTACTGGTGTTAAAACAGTGCTTATAGTTGGTGAGAAAAATTCAACGTGCCAAAGTTTTGCATATTAATCATACGGAACAACTTTTATTTAAAACGTTATTCTCATTTAAGTTTTGGTCGGTCTTAAAGTTTACTACTTCCACAAGGTGTAATTATTTGCCATATTTTTTTATGTTCAAAAGGTCTTTTAGATCGTTTGTTTTTAAACACTTGTTTTCTTTTTTAAAGAAATTTGGTTTTTTAATGGTTTATTACGCTAATAAATGGCAACTATTGTAAATCATTTAATTATACGTATGTAATTGATACTAATTGGCACAATTACTAAATGTTATTATAGATATAAATATAACATAGATCATACAAGAAAACTTTGACTATATATTTAATCATGATATTAAATATGTACATGGTACCAATTAGGTAATGTTTAAAATCTGTTTTATTTAGGAAATGGACCTAAACGATCTTATTTATAGTTTTTTAGCTTCGATGTTTTTGTCTTAAACAATTAACTATTAATTTATTATGAACACGCCACACGCTCGTAATAGGTGTAAAACTAGCTTTTTTTAACTGACATTTAAGTCTAAAGTATTAGTAATCTTTAGACATAAAAATTTAACTGTTTAAATAATTTAGAAAATAGCATTGTCTATATATAGGTTGTTGATTATATTTTAATATTATGATTATTATATTAAAATTTTAAATATACTTTTTTCTGTATTAAATTATATCATTAAAAAAATATTAAATAACTTTATTACAAAAAGAACGTTTAATGTTTTTTAAGTGTTATTAAATTGTACACAACTGCTGCAAAGAAAATATAATATTTTATAGATGGTGATTAAGAATGAAGGCACACGTTATGCAATATGCATATTATATAGATCATGATTAATTATGATAGTCTGATAAAAAAAACTATACCCATTAAAGAAATATATAATTTTAAATTAAAGTTCTACAAAATTAGACTATACTCTTTAAGGTAACATTTGTATTTAAGTGAACATTTAATTATTATCAATAAAAAATAGTAATAAAAAAAACTTTTTATAGGCTTTGACTATATGAAATTAGATTCCTTGAAAACAATTTTTTAGTGTAATTATTTGTTAAGTCGAATTATATTTACAAAAAAATAGTTTTCACCTGTATATTTTCTTTTGCTTATTGTTTTAATACGACTTTAAAATTAAATTACGGGTTATCGACTTAATATTTACCATTTTTGTCGTTGTTATTACTGTTCATCGAAAGTAGTGCAACTGTCGTGCTTCGTTGTTGCAGTTTTTCTTCTCTTTCGGTCTGTCGCCGCAGCATCCACACACGATACTTTTTGATCAGTTTTCGCTTGCCTCGTCTCCATAGATGAGCGACGTACCTGTCACACACACACACAGTAACATTTTAGATCATTAATAATCAAACTAAGATGGGTGTGGACCGATTGGCGTAGGGATAGAAAAAAGGGGATGAAACCTGTCGAGAGATGAGAAGTGTGAGGGTAGATGATGCGAGGAATTGGGGAAATGTAAATTAATGAATTGCTTGCAACTAGTATCACCTACTCAAAAGGCCCAAATATCAACATATTCAGTTATAAATTATAATACACTCGTAATATTATATAGAAGAAAAACAATATTTATATGTTTTCATATTGTGATTTCTGACTGTTCATTATTTTGCGACGTTCATCATTATCTTAATTTAACGATAACTGCTCAATATTCTTCTAAAAATTAAAATAAATTGTGGATGGTTGTTTTTATTTTACAAATAAATTAGCCTACCACAAGAAAAATATGAATTCGTATAGCAGTTGGTATGTCATCCGTTTGTAATCTGTACATGACAAAAATCAATGTTCTTATTATTTTAAGTCTTCCTAATACTCATTATAAAAAACTTGTAAATTTCTATTACTTCGATGCGAAGTGATTTGTAAATATTTCCAATATTTCTAAAAAAAAGTTATAGCACGCCGCAGTTTAAGTTGAAAAATATGGTAATGAAAAATATAAACTCTTTAGGTATTTTTCTTGATTGTGAAAGGAAATGAGTGAACAAATTACTTTTTTGCCAATCGAGTTCTTTTAGAAGATATTGTGGGTCCACGATACAAAAAATTGAAAAACAAATCATTGTTAAAACAAACCCTCTCAGCATAGAAGTTAAACACTGAAAAAAAAACAACGTTCTATGACTTCAGTATTGCTCTTCTCATACAATATTTCTATTAAGGCGTATTTTTATTAATATTACACGTTATAAAGAGTAAAAATTAGTAAGATTTAACTTTTTCGAAGAAAAAAATGTACGTTGTAACATTACATCGAGTTTTACGTGTAAGATAATTTAAGGATTTAGTTAAGAAGGGTTGCTGAAGTATGACTGTTCATAAACACTTATCTAACAGAAACAATTTAAACCTGTGCATATGGTAGCCCATGCGCATGTTTATTGATTTTGTAACTAACAAATATATTATTAAAAACTTTGAACGGGTAATAAGTTTACAACTCATTCTCAGAACAGCTTTATATGACTAAATATCTTCTAAATTATAATTTATCCATTAGCGTCCTTTAATTTATTAATAACGATAAATAATTTTGTACGTTACACTTCTAATATTTTATTTATAGCTAATAATATATACGCATAACATTAGACATCGCCAAAGTATTATTTATTGTATGCATTATACAACATTCATTGTAAAACAAATATTACTCATTACATTATAATAAAATAATAATAAAAGTTTGCTGTACATGAATTATGATGACTAGCTTTTGGGGCTAATATTTGCTGTATATATTTCTCGAGAGTTCGATGTGGTGTAATGTGAAAATATTCAATGGTTTGGAAGAATTCACAATACACTACGAACAACATAGAATCTTTACTAGTATAAACATAAGTGTAAACATTATGGTAATCGCATTTATTCATGGATGACTTATTAGTGAATTGTGCCTATAAAAGTAAAGGGTTCTCCGTAAAATATCGTTTGGCTGTCCGAATAATAAATAAATGCAAAACCCTAAAAGAAACTTTGGGAAATATACAGCTTTTAAGTTTTATTAGTCAATTTATAACAACATCGTTTAGGGCTGTTTTTATCTCACTATCGGTCTTCTTTTTAAAAAACGTGTTAGGGAACAAATACTCACGAACGACTATCATAATATATTTAGAGTACAGTTAGACGTGTAGTAGCTTTTGGAGTGAAATGTGAGTAAGTGTGTATATTCATACGGGAAACGTGTCAACTTGTCTTCAAAACAAATACGTCCGGAATCTCGTCGTAATAGAGCCTTAAATTCCTCGTTTACTGGAATTTAATGTTTACCAACAAACAATTACTTAGGCTATGATTTCTTATATTACTTAAAATTATATAAATCATTCCACTGACTTTTAGACCAGTGTGAATTTCGCATAAGAATATTTAAATTCACATAATTATATTTTGATTATTAGATTTTCTCATAACGAATGATCGATACAATGTATTTATTTAGTAAATTAATTTCACACACAATCATTTATATTTTTATTAAATTAAATAAAAATATCTCTGTTTATTAAAAAAATTATCTGTTTGTGTTGTGTTGTTAAAAAAGTATTTTAAAATGTACAAAACCATAGTTGACAAATGTCAACTATGGTTAAACTTAATTTGTCAAACTATAACCTATAAATTAATCAACTATAGTTGATTAATTTTTGTGTATTGACAAATTATACATGGAGAACTGGGAGTGTTTTAGTACAAAACTATCAAAATTCATGAATTCGCACCAACAACCAAACTTTGTACAAACACTATGATGTACAAGCTACGAAGCATTGAACATTAATATAAATCAGTCATGTCATTATAGGTGATTTGAGTGGTATGCGCTACATTTCATTATAACACTGGTGTTGGCCTGTATTGTCAAAAATGTGTTACTTAAATTACACGATTGTGAACTTAAGTTTATTCAAAAGTTACAAAAGTTAAACAAATGTTAAATTTCTGTAGAAAAACAAAACATACCAACGAATGTTTTTAGTAATTTAATTAGCATATGTTATATTCTATAACTTTTTACATTTACACACATCGGTAAGTATATATATTTGGTTATAAAGACAAAAGTTTTCTTAAAGCAAATGTGTAACATATATAACCTATGAACGCATTTCCATATATTTATATGTATGAATACAATCAAGCACCCATACATATATGGATGTATAGTAGATTTAAATTTATACGGGACGAGGTAGGATTTCTGTCAGGACTCTCTTCAAAGTAATGAAATCAAATTCGATAGCTTGAGAAACAAGTACAACGCCACTGTGCCACATATGTATATTATTTGTTCTTGTAGGTATGCTTATTTTTTAGATTAATTATTTCAGTAGCACTAGTATTTATTTTTGAAATAGGTATCTAAATACAGAAATGCTTAGCTATTATCAATTTTTTCTTTGTAAAATATAGATTACCTTTATAAATAGGTAATTTATTTTGGAATAGAGCAATAGTAAGCATAACGTTAGAAAATATATTTCTTTTGTCGACGATGACACAACAAATGTGTATAATATATATTTCTCTTTAAAGCCATTAAGTCCCGACACATAAATTGAAATATATACCTTAAGTTAAATGAAAAACTTTTTGGCAAATTTAGCAGATGCAGTAAAGTTTAAATTTATACTTTTATAAGACTAACATTACTTCAAATCGCCTGTAGCATCCGATAGCTTAAATGTATTCAGCCTACAAAATATGTTTTTACCGTTCTTGAGCCATAGTTTTCATTTTCATTTTAATTTAATAACATAATAATTACTCGAATCATTATCTTTTTTGTTTATGTCCCAAACATAAAAAATCAGTCCAGTAGAGTCGGGAAATGGGTAGAAGGTAGTATACTCGAAAACGTTAAATAAATAATTATAAGAATATGAATAATAATGCCGAGTGACCAAAAGTGTGAGCTAAAAGAGAAAATGAATTTTTTAGCTTATTAAATTTAAACGCGGTAAAGTTTCAATAGAACTGCATAGTAAAGTTAATAAGAGCACCAAATCTTTCTTTATTTTGTATCTCATTGACATTCAGTCAAGATTTGAGGTTCTGTACTATAATTTGCTATAGGTATCGGAATCTACTACTTTGCCTTATTACATTTAAACATTTATTACTATTTTTAATTCCTCACAGTAACTGAAATAAGAGAACGCATTTATCTTAAATTCTAACCGTATTACCGTTTATTAAGTCATCACAACCTAATCATTGAAAGTATTTAATTTTAATGGAAAAATGAAATGTGACACATGAAACGTGTACTGGAAATATCATACAATTAAACGCAATATTATTATTAAATGCTGCCACCGCTTCAGGATGATATGAATGCCTTTACTAGAAAGTTTGACGCAGTGATTTTCCACGATGATATAATGCCGATGGAATGAGAAAACAACCGCGTAACATGGAGTGGAGAGTGAATTTAGCTTTAATGAACATTGTTTTTGATAATAATTTAAACCAAAACGAGAGGCGGTGCATAAGGGTAGAGAATCGACAAGGAAAGTTTTGTCCATATTGTTTTTTGAATAATGCTTATACATTATGGGGCTGTTTATTAAGGAACCTATGAGGGAGTTATCTCGCTTAAAATTGGCAAAGTTTGGTATTTATACATCGATCAAAACAATCGATCAAACAAACCATTATTATGCGAGTAACATTGGAGATAAGAAATGTCACTATTCGTGTATACATGAATACGACTATGCACAATTAAAGGATTCAATAGAAATTCTTACTTAGAATCCAAGTGGTGAATAGAATATCGTTAGTATCGTAGTCTATTAGGAAACATTTGCATATCAAAAAAAAATTTTTTTTAATTACAATTTTTCACCAAGAATATGTAGATCATATTTTCGACATTTTGAGATAACTCTTTTACATAACTCTTATATTATCTGTTAATTGTTTTATTTATATTTTATATGAAATTATCTGTATACTCTTGCTCTGAAGCTTTATTATAAATAAGTAATAAAAATGCAAATTATATCTTAATGGAACATTTAAGCTACAACTAAATCACTGTTTTTAATTTGTATACATAATTAATTTGTAAAACAGACGAATTCGGAGAAATTTTTAATTAGTCGACAACATAAATCTGTTTTAATTTTTTTTAGATCATTTATTACATTTTCTTTTATATTCATATTATGTTTGAAAAGTTTTTAGACGTCAACATGTCAATTTAAAATTATCAATTGTACTACTCATAATTTAAAGTTAAAAAAGGATTTACTAAACTTATTATTAGAGCCTTCTAATTAGTTATT